CGTATGCTGTATACCATATGGTAAACATGTCACACCAGTTTTGTTAAAAATGAAGGAGCTGAATGTGAGGTACAGAGTCCAATATTTGATAAAAATATTTTATTTTTTCCCGACATGGGCCGGTACACTGACAATTTGTATACAGTATGCTAAGGCCTGTCCTGCTACTCGCGACTTCAGCTCAACCCGAAAAGCGTCCACACTCATTAAAGTAATTCCCGGTATCTGATTATTAATATGTTAAGCTCTTTAAAAATAGATTACAATTCCACTCCGACAAGACGTGGGTGGCTGGCGCATTAGTATTGTCTCCTATGTTGCTTTTGGCAGGAGTCCAGGACTTTTCTTTCTGCGGTTACAGCCACGACGGTTATAAATGGCCGGATCGTAAATTTTCCGCAGAAATAGGATGAGAATGCACTGCACTTGGTTATTATCGAAGGTAATGAGGACACGCAACGAAACGTTTGATAGAAATATGTACATAAATACCAGGGTACATAACTCCACTGCATTTTCTATTGGCAGGACTACAAGAAGAAATTTTTCATTTTTATTCTGAAGTGCGGTCGTAAAGAGTCTCCTTTTGAATTCTTCAAGGATTAGATACATTTCCTATGGAAATGAATCTATCAATCACCAAATTTTCTGAAAGCATGGCCTTTTCTGGGATGGCTGTTAAAGCATGTTTTTCGAAAATGTGTATTTCTGGATGAATGAGTACGTGAACAAACAAAATTGTCGAATTTGGGACGGTACCAATCCACATGACATCCATGAGCGTCCAATGCATCCTAAAAAAGTCACTGTTTGGTGTGGATTTTGGGCTGAGGACGTCATAGGTCCATATTTCTTTGAGAACGACGTTGGTGAGACCATCACTGTCAACGGCGAACCCTGTAGGTCGATGATAACCAACTTCTTTCGGCGTGAATTGGCTTGTTTCATGCTATTGAAAGGAAGTTACTTTCAATGGGGGGGAAACTTCCATTAGCAACTAGATGGCGTTGCGATGGGCAGTTAGTTCACTCAGCCCAGTGATAGCAAATTATTTCGTGAAACGGTTTGAAGGAAAAGCGATAGACACTTTTGAATTGAAGCCGACCTTGTGGCTACGTTACGTGGATGACACCTTCGTCATCTGGAAACATGGAAGAGACGCTCTGAACATCAAAAAGCGAAAAAGGATCAGATGGTTGCACGCGCATATCTACCGTTTATCCCTAGGGTCACGGACAGAATTGGAAAACTATTGGATAAACACGACATCGAAACAGTCTTCAAACCCACGAGGAAGATATAACAAAGCCTCAGGTCGGCTAAAGACAAAAGAGACTTATTATCGCATACCGTGCACTTGTGGGAAGGTATATATCGGAACCACCAAACGATCCATGGGAACAAGACTGAAAGAGCACAAAAGAAAATGCAGACTAGGCCAGGCGGACAAGTAAGCTGTGGCAGAACATGCGCTTAGTGAAGTAGACCACATAATTTTGTTTGAAAACACAACCAGGGATACTATAGCCGACTGCTACGGGAGGCAATAGAGATCCACAAACACACGGAGAATTTCAACAGAAAAGAAGAAGCGGTGAACCTCAATCGAATATGGAACCCCATTTTAAGGAATTCGAGAATAACGAACAGAATGACAACAGGCAGCAAGGTTGTTAACGTTCCAGATTCAAGTACAGGTACAAGTGCAGGTACAAGTACAGGTACAAATACAGGTACTAATACAACTGATTACCTGTCAAGGCATACATACGCTTTACGAAGCCTAAAAGTTAGTCATCGGACAGCAAGCCATGATGGTTAAACCTCTGAAGAAGCTAGCCACTCGCGCCAGGAAGAAATTCCAAAAATCCACGGCTTTCAAACTCGAAAAACATTGACACTGATACTGGTTTGGTTATAGACTGATCGAGTTAGGGGTATATCATACTTATCAAGCCCAATCGGTCCCAAGATGTATTTATATTTGCAGAAGAAGGAACAATTCGAGAAGCAAGAGTTTAAATTAGCCGCGTGTCTGTTGACCAATAAAATTGATCGTGTCTACAGCGGTGTTGCCACAGAACTAAATTATAGTGATCCAATTCGACAGACGCAATTTTTGTTGTTAATGTTTCAACTCGGTGTGAATACAACCGTTACAATCCGATTTGTTTGATACAATTTTCTAATTAAAAAACATTTTCATTTGTTAAAGGTAGGTCTCGGTGAAGACGAGCGCATTGTGCATAAGAGTAATAAATGTTATATCAAATATTGGCAAACAATCAAGTTATTTTACCGGGGCAGACATTTGTGTTGGCCAATAAATTATAGTTTTTTTGATAATAAATTGCAGTTGAAAAGATTGAAAATTGTAGATTGAATTGAATAAAATTTGAAATTAATCTTCTTTCTTTTGTATAAACTCATATACTAACTATAAATTGTTGTAATGAAATCTTTAATCTAGTTCGCCACATTTTTTGATTTTCATAACTGTATATTATTAGGTAATGTATAAAATCATAGTTAAGGTAATATTTTGTGATCTTTCAATTTTGTATATTGATTTATTTATACGCTCTGTGAATTATACGATTTGGCAATGTTGATTATTTGCAATGTTCGTATTGGTCAATCGAACAAGAAACATGACTAGGCCGGTGACGTCACGGGCCTAGAAAATTCGATTTTCAATAATTAATTACGGGAAAACAACGGTATTCAGAGAGTTGAAACAAAGTGCACCGTTTTGCAATTTGAAATTACTATCAAATGAACTGTTAGCCAAAAATCATGAAACAAGCCCATTGGATGTTCTGGACACCAACGACATGTAGTTTTAACAGGACAGCGCTACATGCTACACAGCTCATGTCATATTCTGCGTAAGCGATTTGAAGGTATGGTCATCTCAAGTGGAGGTGATGTGAACTGGCTACCGAAGTCATGCGATTTGACATTGTTACACTTTATCTTGTGGGGTTTTCTCAAGTTGCAGGTGTATGCGAATGAGCCATAAAACCATAGCGGTCCTCAAAGCCAACATAACCCATGTCATCTGTCGAATTCAGCCTGATTTATGCGCCAAAGTCATGGAAAGTTGGACGTTTCGGATGTGCTGCACCTAGAGAAGCCGTGGCAGATATTTGAACGATGTTATGACATCAATAGGTCTTTCAAACGAATACAAAATGATGATGATATCCCACACACACTTTGTTTCATTCAAATTGATTTAAAAATAGGAAGCACTTAATGAAAGACCCTGTAGAATGTAGGATGCACCATCATAACTGGAAGATCCAACTCTGAGATCGAACCTTTAGTAAAGCCTACGTTACAAACATAACATCATTCACGAATATCTGAAGTCAAATATAAAATTTCTTCCGTGATTAGTATCAATGTTTATAACGTTAGGAACAGAATTAATTTGGTTTTACATATTGCACGTACAAATAATGTCTTGAATAAATGTTTGTTTGAAGGTGATTAACAATGTTTCATGATTAATTTCATTAGTTCGGACTTCCATTGTCTGATATTATATAAAATGTTTCGAAATCCCTGAAAAAAACTGATTAAAAAGAAGAATTGAAAAAAAATCTGTTTGAAAATCTGTTTTTCCGTTAATCAGCTGTCGCCTCCATACGAACGACAACTCTCAGAAGTTGAGAAACTTGTGCGAGCTAAGTACTAACGAGATCTTACCTTATAACGTGTAATTTCTAACAAGTAATCGAAAGAGAATAGCTGAAAATAACAATTATATTAAGCGAAACAACCTGAAATGAAATAATAGTCATCATCAAACTATAATGGCTACTCCAAAGCTACTCCTCGCAAGGAAGAGAAGCCGTTGCAACCAGTGCTTGCACTTTCCTATATCAGTGAATTATCAGAAAAGATAAGAAGAATTGGGTCCAAGTACAACATCAAAACCTGCTTCAGATCCGGTAACACTATCCGTAGCAGCCTCACGAAAACCAGGCCACCAAACGCGGACTGCGATTCCAAGAATTGCATTTACCGGATACCCTGTGAGTGCCGAAAATCCTATATCGGTGAAACTAAGGCCACTGCATGTTCGCATTACCGAGCACAAGAAACACACACCGCGAAGGAAAACCAGCAAATCAGGAATAGCAGAGCATGTTTGGACCCATCAACATAACATCGACTGGGCCCAAGCTGATATCATACACTGGGAGAGACATTGGTTTAGGAGGAAATTCCAAGAAGCTGCATAAATGTTGTCCAACAATGTATTCAGACAAGCTAGCGTAGAGATACGCAACATATGGAAAGCCATAATCAAGTGAAAAATGGCCAACTCCCACCAAACTGTCATCTCCCACTACACCGGTGAAGCGGAAAAAGGAAAGGCGAAGATAAGGGAAAGTACTCGAATGACCTATGAATAGTCATCTCTCGGAGGAATTAGTCTAGTCATCACCCGAAGATGATTGTGGATACTAACAATCGAAATGTCGTGAAGTAATTTGGCTTGGAATCTCTCAACTTTTTAGTTTTTTGTTCAATTGTTACATTTTTACTTGTATTTTATTGCACTATTATTTCATTTCAGGTTTTTTTGCTCAATAAATTTGTTATTTACAACTATTCATTTTTAATTCTTCTTTTTTAGTTGTTTCAGGAATTTCAAATCATTTTATATAGTAGACAATAGAAGTCCGAACTAGTGAAATTCAGCTTTTTTGAAGTTTTTTTTTGAAGTGTGTAGGGAAATCCTTCTGAAATAAAATTTCTGAAAAGCTCGACTGTAACAAGTGAACTAATCTTGTGCATATGCTATAATAGTATGGGGATCTTTAAAGCACTCAGCAAAAATATTTACTGAGAATAATAGCGGAAATAAATTTCAAGGAACATTGCCAACAATTATTAAGGCAATCTGGAATTTTAAAACTTCCTTTCTGTTTTATATATGAATGCTTAATTACATATTGCTATATTAAATGGAAAACTAATTACTACTAACCCAAGGGAACATCTGCATGTATTTCATAGCTGCCATAAAGAAAACCAATTCTCTGATGACCAGTAACTCGCCAATAGTTGAGAAATCTTTCAACTAAGTTCGTATTTTCAAAGGCAACATTATCCACATGTCGATAAGCCTAAAATAAATAAAACAAATTATAAGCGAACTCCTGAAACCATATGATTGTTAAAAAAATTATTGAAAAGTGTCGGTCAAACTTACATAGTCATTATGCGATGTCTGCTCAAAAAATAAGGTGAATATGTTAAAATTTTGTGGGCTGAGGATGTCAGCATATCGGTTGGTTCACGTCATGCAAATTTTTCGGAAATTTTGAGCATGAAGCATGTTGCAGCGAAGTTCGTTCCAAAATTGCCGAATTTCGACCAAAAATACCGTTGCATGAGCATCGCTCAGAAATTGTTGAATGACGTCAACGGCGATTTATATTTGCTCAAAATGGTCATAACTCGAATGATGGGTGTATGGGACCAAAAAAAGCACACTAAGTTCGATCAAATATAAAGGTTTTGCTCACTGTTTTCTTTGATTGCCGTGGCATAGTGCATCAAGAGTTTTTGCCACATAGTTGTACAGTCAATAAGGTATTATCTTGATTTAAGATAAGATATCAACTGGCCGTGTTAGGAATCACACGTAAAAAAGGTAAGACCTCGTTAGTCCTTATCTCGCACAAGTTTCGGCTTCTGAGAGTTATCGTTCGTAAGGGTGCGATATCTGGTTTACGAAAAAACATATTTCAAACATATTTTTAAACATCTTGAAGTTATGCGCCGCTTGCGAGAAACAATACAAAGAAAATGTCCGGTATTGTGGAGAAAGAATTCATGGCTTTTACATGACGATAATGCACCTGCTCACTTGTCATTGCTTGTTTGTAATTACTCGCCCAAAAACAAGACCATAATCATGCCTCAGCCACCGTATTTACCAAATTTGGCCTCCCGCGATTTTTTCCTCTTCCCATGATTGAAGAGACCCATGAAAGGAAGATGTTTTCCGACGATTGAGGAGATAAAAACCGAATCGCTGAGAGAGCTGGGACCTTATTTTTTCAACAGACCTCGTATTGTTCATTCTAGGCAGTATCATAAAAGTAAATTTACTTGTGCAAACGCAATAATGAAATATATTTACTACTAGTGTTCTAGGTTCTCTGCATCCCATTTACAAAAATGTATTTATTCTCACCTCATATCAAGAAACATATGAAAGATAATTCACTAATTAGTTAACATTGCCAATCTTAAGACCCTTCAACAGATTGTTTTTAATAAATTACAAAGATACTGCTCGAACCAAATTTGTAATTTTCAAATATGTATCTCTAATAGAAGGTCGATTTACGTATTTCTCTGCAAATAAACCTCGTGAAAAAATGTTATGGTGTTGATTAACTCTGAATAAAACTCCATCAATTTCAAATGAAAAGCTATTAGGAAATCTAATTTCAATGTAACCATAAAGTGCTGCCATCATCTGGGTAGCTGTCCGTTAGCATATTAGCTTTTTGTTACTAGAGAGTTGGTGTGAGACTTTGAAAAACTTCATTGTGATTATTTTTAACTTGATTGTGACAGTTGGATCTATAAAATATTTTGATATAGTCAGAAAATCATATCGGGGTACACATTTGAATTTTTCATATGAATTTGTTACTACAACATTTAATATAGAAAGTCTAGAGTGACACAGAAAACTTGCTAGAGTAATTTTTCTATGTAATGTGAATGCTTTCGATGTTTTATCTCTTGTGGATTTCAGTGTTCCTCATTTTAGAACTAGAAATACAAAAACTTTTTATTGCTAACTGGCCAGAACCAATTTGTTCCAAGAATTTTAAATTTATGTGATATCAATTTTGATTCTCTCAAATTTTTTGTTAAAACTACGTCTTAAAATTTTTATAATTGGCATAATTTGTATTATGTGGATATATAATAATAGTATATTATGCAACGAACATGTAATGATGGTTATTAAGACACGAGCATCAACCGGCATACGAAACGAGCCGAAGGCGAGTTTTGTATGGTATATGCGAGTGTATTAATAACCATTACATGAGAGTTGCATACGCTATTTTTTCTAAACCCGATAAATAATGAAAAACTATAAATATTATATTTGTATTGAACACATTTACATTAATTGACTCATATTTTTTTAAAAAAACACCAACTTAATGGTATTATCATGGATATAAAATATTGGAGTCGATGATATTCCTTCTATATCGCTGTTTTCAGACATTTTGATAATATAGGTAGGTAATATGAAAACTGATTTTGACAAATAAAGCAATTAGTTACTTAGGTTAGAATCTAGGACAAACAAAAGAACAGGATTCTTGATTGAAAAATTATGGGTTTCTATTGGTTGATAATCTGTATCGTTATGAAAAATCTGTATCATAATGGATATCATTATGAAACGGATTATGGTCATATAAGTGTATTGTTAGAATACGGGTGTAGAAAAATGTAAATCTTTCATCTTTATTCCTCTTATTATTTCCATTTTGTTCTTCATTTCCAAAATTGTCACTTTGTAGTTATAAGCACCTACTTATTTTTTTATCATACTTAGTCAACCCTCTAAATGGTTTTTTATCTGTTGGTTAATAAATGCTACCCTACTTATCCCTAGCTCGTCAAGAGGCACTACCCCACTGATGATTTATTCCTGACATAAGCCCCTTTTTGTCCTTATTTTCTAATAGCTTAGTGTAATATCAAGTCTAAATCTGACTCTGGGTTGGGAAACAAAATTTTACTAATTTTGGCGATGTTTTTTTAAATTCCAGGAATTCTATTGCTGAATTTCAAGTGTAATGATAATATTTTTGATATTTTATTTTTCATTAGTCATTCTTATAGCACTTTTTCAAAATTAAGGTTAGGTAATAGGCACATAATTAACCATTCACAATATTACCACACACAGGAAATAATATTTGTAACAACATGCAAAGGGCTAAAACTTGTAGAAATATCAACTTTTCCATGTCTCCTGGAGACACAGAAACCCTTTTTTGGTTTTCTATACTTCTTGATTTTCATATGTACAGTACATGATGTATAAAACACAAAACGTATCAAAACATTAAGTGATCTGTATAGGTCTCACATATATAGATCAAACTGGCTTACCTGCATATTTAATGTAATAGCATTCGGTTGACACTTTGAACAAATTCCCTTTGGCCATGGTGGATGATCTTTGCAACCGTTTCTAATACGACATGAAATATCTTCAAGTGCTAAGAACTTGCCACGATCAACACCAGATGTCATTTTACGCAGGAAAGCATGAAAAGAAAGGTGTTTTATATTTTGTTCCCTTAAGTATGTTTCATCGTAAGGTTCCAGAGGTGAGCAATGAACACAGCGCGAGTTAGCATTGTGACGGCACCTGAAAAAATGTATATAGTTGTTTCTTTGCATACGTTGATTTTAAAAGAAATTAAACAAATATCTAATGACATACAAAAGGGTACTTTTTCACTGTTGTTTCTGTTCAAATCAAATATCATTTTACTGTTCAAAATAGTTCATTGTGTTAACTGGTTTTATTGTTTGTATTTAATTTTTCATATTGTTTCATTTTATAAATACCAGTGGTACCTTGGGATCAATAAATATTATTGTTATTACTAACAGCAGATTCAAACTTGTATAGAGAGTAAATGATGAGTGCAATGGAAATAGCCTCAAAATTAGTCTAGATTTATTAATCATGAAATAAGTAAGCTTTCCATGAACTGGTACCATCATAATAACTGTATGACTGAAACATGTTAACAATTTATATAAAGTATATAAATAACTACATTAATACAGTAAACAAATACAAAATAATCCACTGAGTTAAAAGTTGAATAAACTATTTATGAGTGATGGAATTGGACGATACTTGATGAAAATCTATAACTTATTCAAGTAACACTTTATTATTAGATTTTCAGTAGAAAGTTTACAAAATGGCAATATATAATAGCAACCCGAACCCGATTAGGGTTATTATTTTGTGAAGCACAAAATGTTAATGTCCATTCAATGAGTTGGTAATTTTTTTATGTTTAAAAGTTTCAATTAGTTATTAGTCATTACCTAGGTAGAAGGTCACATTACTGAAATTGTTATTATATAAAACACAAATAAGGTAGAATCCAGTTAGTATGAAAACGCTTGTGCAAGATATTGTACAGCGAAACACACGTTGCAGGTTTGTGAAATGTCAAGTTGTGTAAGGATTGATGTTTGGAATTAAAGTGATGTGTGAGTGAAATTTTTTAAAAGTACTCTTTCTTTCAAGTTATCTGGTTTTCATAAGGATGATATTTGTTTCAATGGCCCTGTGCAAATGTTGATGTATACATTGAGGAAGAAAAATAGGTCCATTCAATTAGAATGGTTGAAGAGGAAGAACCTGTTGGTGGACAAGCACATTACTAAAGTCTTACTGGTCTTAGTACTAACAGTTGAAATTTAGGAACAAGGTCACAAGGTAATGAAAATTATGAAGGCTTCTATGTAAACATACAGATTGAAATTTGTTTTTTGTGGCTAAAATCAAGACAGAGACAAGGACTACGATGTTTGAAGCAGCTCAAAGAAACTGAGGCGATTAATTCCATCATAACAAACAGGTAATTTTTGACCTTTTGATGAGAACCGTGTTTGATTCTCTCTTGTCAAATCAACACTCTTGAGAAAAATAATATACTGAATACTGAAATCCTGTTTGTCAGGTCCCTCATTTAAAAATCTCAACTTCTTACAATTTTTCATCTCTTTTCCTTTGGATTTTTCCATCTAATTTCATGAGTTGTAAGTCTACAATGTCCTCTTTGATGCTTGTACTGGACCTACTAGTACTAGTGCTAGGTCTAGCATTCGATGAAACAGAACTTGTAGAAGGTAGTGGATCATCTATAGGTTCTCCGGAAGGAGTATTATTAGACTAAAAAATAAAATTATTACTAACATTTCATTTTCAGTAAATAAACTAATGACTTACAAATAATACAGCACCATTGACAGGTACTAGATATATCATATCTCCATGTCGAAGTCCAAGAGTTCCTAAAGTTTTTGTTTTGCTGCTACATATCTCATTTTGCTTATTTTTTTCTCTGTACAGTGCAAATGCAAAGCTGTTTAAATCAAAAGCATTATGAATGGTTTCAAATAATTGACAAGTGGATGTTGAAGGAGTCAACTCAATTCTCTTAGTACCTTCTGCGGACTGTACTCTCAATAGCTGAAACATATATGAATTTTATTCGTCAGAGCAACAAAGATATTTTCAATATTGAGGTTATGTTTGATATAATTTTATAGTGATTCATCAAAAGTACAATAATAAATTGAATATATCTACACACATTCAAATAGAGACTAAAGATCCTTACCAATGATTTTTCTTTGGACATTGTGAATTACTCCCCATGTATATTTTTACAGCTTCGTCAGTCTAGAACTTGAATCTAATTGTCAAAACCTTGCAATTGATAATGAAACGATAACAATTTGGCAGCGCTGCAGAAATAAGTCCGTATCATAAGGGTTTCATCACATGTAACAATAATTTTTCTTTCTCTCTTTTTATATATAGCGTTTTCCGTTGGTAATGGTAAATTCTAGTGGCACCCAGATGTGAATTCGAGTGATAAATCACTCGAATTCACATCATTCGATTCTCGAGTGATGAATCACTCGAATACACATCATTTAATAACAAAATTATTTCGGTTATATCCATCTCTAGCATGTACAACCATTTTTATGGAGCCTTTGTATTTTTCTATGTTGACTACCTTGTACATTTATCATTAGTGTCACTTGTCATATGTGATTTATGTTTGTATTTTCTCAAGGTTCCTATATTGGGGTGTTTACGAAATAGAATAACGATGAGATTGGAACCTTTGGTGTGAAAGTTGAATAACTTTTTTCAAGATCAATTGCCCTAACACCAAACTGATATTTTTGCACTCGACGCGCGTTTCTCCAACAATGTTAGCATCCTCAGGAGATCAATTTTCTTCTAAGGATTCTAACTTTGTTGGCGAAACGCGCGTCGAGTGCAAAAATATCAGTTTGGTGTTAGGGCAATTGATCTCGAAAAAAGTTATTACGAAATAGAGCCAACTTTTGACAAAAGGGTACCTGTGGTAAGAGGATATCAACCAATAAAACCCGCAAACGTTACAAACCTTTTGAACCAATACCAATAGATAAATACATTTGATTAATTGGTGGACTCATTCATGACTCGTCCATTTGTGAATGAATATAAATATAAAAATAATTCATATCATATACTATTTTCTTTATTGATGAATATGATTCGTGCCTTTACTGAGTTAATTGTTTGTTTCGCAGTGTTTCGTTAAGCTATTCGAATAATTTATAATAATGTCACAGATTCGCTAAGGCTGTTCTAGTGTAGCAGAGACTACTGAGGACTTCCTGGTGATTGGATCCCAATCATAAAATTTCAAGGAACAGCTTCTATATATATGAGGCACTACAGAAGGCTTTTGATAAATGGCTTGTAAACTTTCATCAAGTACATTGATAAATTATTAGTATATTGAGGTATTCTGGAAAAAAAATACCACATGTAATACTTCCTAATGCTGAAATGTGATCAGAATTTTCTGAAACTAGTATATGCTCTAATAATTCATGCTCTCTAGAACTTATCATGTCTGAACCAGAGATTTTCTAGATTTATGAATTTTTCTCATAGATATAAATTTAAGGCTTACACATCAACCCCAGATTAATTTTCAAGAACCCCTCTTCTCTAATTTTAGCAATTCCTAAGAGACAAGCAAATTTTCCAATTTGTGCGCACTATCTTGGTGTAATTGTTTTTCACTACAGGCTTTAGTGCCTCTAGCAATTGAAACATTCGTTTAAAAAAACCGCATATAATATGAACTAGCAACTATATGGTGGATTCATGCACTCAATCTCATCGTAATTACTTTGTTGATGATATTGTTGATGACCAACCAATTATTGAATTGGAACACCCACAACAAATCCTAATGTAATTATTCAACACAAAATGTCTACAAATTAGTGAACGTACAAATACCTCTTCATCATCATAACCACAAATGAAATAATTTGTTTCAACATGATAAATATGAAGAAAAAAAAACGATTATATTTGAAAATAAACCATCCGTTTTGAATAGCTCTATCGCCGGTACACAAATAGTCTCGGAAAGGCTAAGGATGCCATTCGGAATAAATGGTTCTGTAGAATCAAACTTTGTATTTACATTCCATATCATTTCAAATTTAACGCTCTATTTTTCTCCAATGACATCACAAACGTGGCGGCATACATTTTCATATTTCGTAAACTCCTCTATAAACGAACTTTGGTTCTTGAGTTGTTTTTGCTGTTTGAAAGTATTTTTATTTATTTTTCTTTCAGTTTTCCTAAACACACATGACTCAGTTTTCAAACAACATTACCTGCAAAAACTGTTTGGAATAACAAATAAAACGTTATTTATTCCTTCATTTCCAATTTCTCAGTCGAAAAAATTGAAGTATCAGAAATGTTCAAGGAATGTTTTCATGATTATAGTTAATCAGGAGGTCGAAAGAAGATTATTCTCCGAAAAATTCTCAAATGTTATGGTCAACTTTTCTTATGTGTAGTTGCATTCTTGTATCTGACCAACGTCATTCGTGTTCGGATTTTGAGAATTCCTTGACGCATTTTTGGAATATATCAGTGAGACTACCTGAAAATCGTTAAAAATTACATATGTCAATCTTTTGCAAGTTGTTTTATTTGTCGACTTCTTTATATATCTGAATAACACTCAATTCTTGAATGTATTCGGACATATCATTGAAACTTTCAATTTAATGTTGATCTACTTGTTCCGAAAGCTGAAGCTGGCTTGAACTCATCGCTACAACTCTTTCCGGTAAACTACAGCCTTCTTCTTCACATATCATACTGTAATAATGTATAATTCATTCACTACCGCTATTCAAAAGTAAACTCAAAACGGAATTGCTTAGTCAACAGTGAGCCAAGCATAAACATTTAAATTTTATTTTCCTATTGTCCTGAAATTGTCATTCATTTTTTGTAATGTTTCTTTTTTTCAAACGTGGTTGAGTGGAAGAATACGGTTCTGCTAAACTCCGCCATGTAAAATAACTACCATTCATTTTTTTTTTTTTTATTATTATTAATTCTTCGAAAAAAGTATTCAAAGTCACACAGCAGAACGTATAGTTCCCAAGCATCCGCGCTTTCTATTTAATTATTATATTGCCTTTCCAAGTCGGTCCATTTAACGAATATCTTATCTGAATATGAAGTTTTCTGCAATTTTTCTCTGTAAAAACGCCCACTTATTGACCTGACATGTCTTCCCGCGAACATATAGTTGGTATATAGTTGATTTTGATAATTTACTCGTTCATACACATTTCCAATGAAGTTTTGTCTGTGCTGTAATTATTGATCCTGTATTTTATTATTGAATTTTGCTCTAGTAAAATTCGGTTGCTTGATCGGAATGTTAATTTTTCTGAAGAAATCTCGTATTAGCGAAAATATTAAATGATTGTTGCAAGCAATATTTTCGTGAGCATCATGTATCCTCTCCATTACCTCTCTTTTTCCATTCCTCTCAAAAATTATACATTCTTCCAGAAGTCGTCGAGTACCTACCTGTATAGGAAATTCAAAATGAGTAATACTTCCTTTAGCGTCGATGTTGTGAACTATAGACAAATATATTGTTCAACAAGTTAGTGAATAATAAGTAGGTATTTTTGTCGCTGTTATATTATTAATTCTTCAAGTGACTAGGTGAAGATTTGTCCATTATCTTTTTTCTCGGTTTTAATGAATATGGGCGAGAATCAAGTTCAAACCATCAGTGTTCCTCAATGTAGGTTGTGGGCAGAAAGATTCCGATGCAATGACATCAATTTACAAATTTTTCACGACAAAATCAAGTGAAATTTGAACTGGAAACTATATATTTTGGGATTGAAGGAGTATGTTTGATGAACGAACATCCTATACAAATATGTTGCCACTTCCTAAAATAGTTGTATTCGAAAACTACCTATTTTGCACAAACGATAATCAAATATGAAGGTCTTTTTTTTCAATAAAATATATGCATGAGACCTTTTTGATTAAAAAAAAACGCTATAAACGGCAAATACGGAGTAGTCCTACTTGTTTTCAAATAATAAATATACGCCTTGACGGCTTTGGAATTTTTAAACGAATATCAACTGAAAATCCCTTTAGATGAATTTCTGTGGAACTCACAAAAACAATTTTTCAGTGATGCAATCGCAATGAAACAGAAATCAAAATATGAAACTATTGGTATTGATCCCGAAAATATACCAAAGAGATTAAATTAATGAGGCGGAAAAAAATTCTCAGTGTTCGAATACTTAACTATCCTACTCACAAATCATTATATAATTACAATATTTCATATATACCATAATATGCTTACATGCGAGTTTAATGAAAGCATAATTGCCCCGTATCAATTATTCCCATCACCCCTGCTGATATAGAAACAAAACTTTGTAATGATTTCGAATTTCTAAAAATAAAAGTTGCTAAAATTGTGCAGGTAAATGATCAAATAGACTGTGATTTCCTAGAAATAGTTTTCAAGTGTCAACGTTTACATTACATCTATTCATAATAAACGTTTCCTTATGAAATTCACATTCTAAGTCGGAATTTGCACGATCATGGCTTAAATCCAAGTGGAATGAAACTGCATAATTACAAATTCCAGAGAGAACGTTTTCTCATTATTAGTTGAGGAGTGAATGATTCATCCACTCTACATTTTTTAACGGAAAGTTACATATTTCTTATAATATTCGAAGTGATTTTAATAATAACACTCTCTTAAAAAAAATTAAAATAATTTAATAATTCAGTACTCTTGAGTGTTTGTGCATTTAAATCGTTGAAATCTGTTGGTTTTGGGTAGTGTGACGTGACATCTGTGATTTGTGACATTGTGACGTGAACGTGACATTTTCAATTTTCACAGCTGATTAACAACTAAATACCTATTTCAAAAAATTTTGTCATTTCTCCTCAACTGAAGATTTAAAAAAATGTCAACTAAAGTTCAACTATACATTTATGACTTGTCTGGTGGCATGGCAAGTAGAATATCGCCTATGCTTTTGGGTAATTGGGTTCTTTATTTTAAGGTTAAGTACTTATGATTTTCATTTTCTTATTAGGAAAGAAAATTGATGGGATTTGGCATACGTCTATTGTTGTCTTCGGTAGAGAATATTTCTTCGGTTCGAGGGGCGTTGAAAGTTGCAATCCAGTAAGTCTAAAATATCTATCTTCACGTCTTTTATAATAATTCACCTGTAATTTCAACTTCAACAATATTAAAATAATTTCATTGGCATTTGCTTCAATATGATTTTCGGCTTTCGTGCTCATACGCAGTTTCCAAAACAACACTTTTTTTCTATAAATATTGTTCTTATTTTGTATGTAAATACTCTTTAAATCACTATTTCACTATGACATTCTTGAGTACAACATATATCTGCCTATTATTAGAATAGTGCTTAGGGTAGGGTTTCAACAGTAAGATTGCTTTGACTGAGCCAAATCTTGGCTCCTCTATAACATGCTTTTAGTAGTGAAATTTCTAAATTTGGAATGGTTCTAAAAATAAACTGAAAGTGCTATCTGTTTTTAGTCAGTTACAGTCTTCCTTTGAAAATTGATTTGACTTTATTGTGCATAAATTATCGTAGGTACAATCAGTTTGTAAGTACAACCTTTCTTTCTTTTTCACAGGTTTTGGCACTTGAACCATTTTTTCATTAATTGTATCAAATTTATATAAAGAGCTCAAAATGTTGAGTGCATCATTTGCCACATGGTACATTTGAATTGATATATTTTTATTAATATAGTTTTCAACTCATTCAATTTTTGTTTCACTCATTTTAGTGTCAACTTTTATTATGTCAAAAATTGAAATACATTATTCACAATGTTTTTTAACGAAACTCGATTACACCACTGGATTACATATCTCTTTCCACCAGGACTAATTAACAAATGAAAATCTCTCCCAAAATGGGATTTTTTAATTGAGAAAAGATCAATCAATTCAATGTTTTTACATATATGTTATAAAAATATAACTCTTTCTGTTGAATTGGGCCGTTCTTCCTAACATAAATCATACACTATTAAAAATGAATCTTCAGGTAAAATTAAAAAGAGTATGTAGATAACACCTGAAGAATAAGGATGTAAATTACTGTGTATAATATCATTTCATATTATTTGCTTAATATCACATTGAATTATACAAAATACTTTGTATCAATTTTCAATATTTGTATAGTACATTTCAATAAACATTTTCACTAAGAACTATTTGAAATGTTAGTTATGAAAACATTTATAATACTATTCATATAATATTTTTCAGGGGTCAACGGCTCTTGGTCAGCCTCTGAAAGTTGAAAATTTGGGAGAGACACAAGTTCCGTATTTCATTTTCATTGATTATTTGAACGGATTATCTGAATCATCCTTTGCGTAAGTATAAATTGTGTTTTTTTGGAGTTGTTGATAAAGTGATGACATATTAGATTTGGCTCTGTAATCAAGCAGATTTAAACCACTATAGTAAGTAAACATTGAAAAGATGATACTCTAAAATAGATAAACACAAATACTGTCTTACTTGCCAAAGTAACCATGATTAACTTAAATTTCGCAGTTGATATTATTTCTGTCTCTATATTAGTTTGTTCAGAATACTCTGTTGAAAAGGGTTCATTTTTAGGAGAGATTAATACAGAAAATGTGGAAACAAGGATAATTTTACATATGAAAAATCTGAAGGGAATGAACATATAAATATCCATGAATGCATTTCAAATGATATTACAATTTGATCTCAAACAAGTGGAAGGAACTAAAATTAGTTAAATATTCCAAAAGCGTAAAGTATTCTGAACGAAAATGTATTTTATAAAAGTGAACAGTATATATATTTCTTTAATGGAACATGATCCAATAACTGTGAGCTATTATATTGAAGTTTTTTATATTATATGTTTCTTGAATGTTTTGTCAGAAAACTTCAATGTATATATTTAAATTTCTAAGGTATAGTTACTAGCCTTTGATGTTAGCAAGTGACAATAAACTCTACTTCACTCATTGGTGGCCCAAGTGCTGACTTGTGAAAATATTGATCCGCTCATTCCATTGAGGCCTTAAACTAATGTTCCTTGCGTATTGCAGAATTGCTTGGAAGACTGATGTATATTGACAGAGAGGATACCTGTAATGTAAATTTTTCCCTACAGTAAATTCCAGCTCTTGTCCTAGGTTCGGTTTTCGACAGGTCTGTTTAATGGGTTCTTCTGCTGAGTATGTTCTCGGGATAACTATTCATTCTCTATTCTTCACAATTAATGACTTCAATTGTGAAGTTTGAATCAAATATGTATTTCTGAGTCTTACTGGCCAATAACATTTTAGATGTAAGTTCCTCTACATATTTTGAAATTTGTTTTACCCAATATATTGTAACTTGGTGAATTTTTCAGTCTGATTTGGCTCGCCCTTGCCTCTCTCATCATTACAAGATGTAACGGTGGAACATACAAGAGACTCTCCAAAACAGCTGTTTACGTGGTGTTCATTGCTCTCGCCTTCCAAACTAGAAAGTGTTTGCACCCTGTCTAGTTTATTAATAGCGGCTTTGCTTAACTTTTGGCCATCAGACAATAGATGTATATGTTATCATGGGTTTAACCACCATGGGGTAGAGCCGGAAGATCATGTCTAGTTTTCGCCCCAATGTCTTTCCATAAATACTACATTCGTCTTTCTTTTTACTTTTTTAGGCTTGGTTCCAAGTCAACCTCACAGATATTTGGTCTCCCCCGAGAGATTTATCTCTTCACTTTGAAGTATTAGTCTTGTTCCTCTTGGTGCATACTACTATGATCGATTTGATGGTCTTATGTTCAGTTTTTCTTCCTAAAATCATCTTGCGTCCCCTCACTATATGTTTGTATTTGCCTTGAACTAGGATGACTAAATCGTCTGCATAGCTCAGTACTTTATATCCTTTATGATCTAGAAGCTATCCACCATTGCCACTAATGTTTCTCTTATAATGGTCATGAATACCAGTCTTCCTCTGAGCATAAAGTCTATCCACTTTCAGTTTTTGTCGTCGATCTCTCTTTTTCTCAACGCTTGGAAGATTCTAGGGAACCATGGTTTACCCATTGATAAATAAATAAAGAAATATTGAAAATCTATTATTGTCAAATTTTCACTAAACAGTTTACAAAACTACAACACGTGCTTCGTACTATGAACCCGCCTGAGGAAGCTATTTAACGATTTTTTTTCCAATGACAAAACACAAGCACTACACGAAAACCCTTGAGGCGCTCTCAGAGCTGTGCCTGTGCGAAAGTAGAGATTCACATTGGATTTTAATCCCTGGAAATTCAATCCATTTGGAAAAACGTTCTCAGGAAATTCATTCTACATGAACGCAGTTCTCCAGATGAAAGAGTTCTTAAACAGTGAAGTTCGAGGTATACTGAGATGAACCTCAAAACAATGAACTGCCACAGTCCGTCGCGTATTTCTGATGTGTACCGCTTTTGATGGTGGAATCAAATGTGCCAAGTCACTTGAATACTTTCCGTGAAAGTATCTATAGGAGAGAGACAAATCTCCAACCTTTCTTCGATGTTCCAGGCTATCAAGGTTGCTATCAAGGTTGCAGATAGAATCCAGCAACTTCAGGGTATGTTTGGAGGCAGAGCTCTATACATGAGAACAATACTTGGAACACGGTTTTCCAGGCTTTTGAGAAGTGGCCTTTGCAATTCCATCAACATGATTGTACCTCAATTGATAATATATTCAATACATACAATTTAAAATTGCATATTGAGGTGCCTACGAGACATTGTAAATATTCATCAAGTCTATTGGATTATGTTTGCTCTAATATACATGAAGAAAAAATAAGTTGTGAAGTAGTCAATACATGTTTATCTGACCATGATGCAATTTTGTGTGAGTGTTCTTTTGATAACATTGACAAATCTTCAGTACAACAAACAAGGTAGGGTTTACAGCAAAACGAATTTTGAAAAATTATGTAATAATTCTAATTGGGGACATATAGTGACAACTGAGGATCCTCTACGTGACTTTCACAAAAAATTGCTTAGCATTTTTAATACATTGATGAATTTTTATTGTAACTTTTAAAGCAAATAACTTATATCGATATTTCTTTTGTTGTCTTGTAGTTATGTATGTAGTCTTTACTATATTTATATACATCCACTAAGACATTATATCCTGACATGTTCTATACCCTAATGGGTCCTTTGAATGAATAAACTGATTTGATTTGATTTGATAACATTGACAAATCTTCAGTACACAAACAAGGTAGGTTTTACAACAAAACGAATTTTGAAAAATTTACAGAATTGTGTAATAATTCTAATTGGGGACATATAGTGACAACTGAGGATCCTCTACGTGACTTTCACAAAAAATTGCTTAGCATTTTTAATGCAGCTTTTCCACTTCAAAACATTAAACTTAAGAATAAGAAGGCTTGGATGACAAAGGGCATAAAAGTTTCAGCTAAAAATTTAAGGTGTCCACTATATTCGCAGATATTTCAGAGATCATGTTCTCTTCAGTTTACAAAACTACAACACGTGCTTCGTACTATGAACCCGCCTGAGGAAGCTATTTAACGATTTTTTTTCCATTGACAAAACACAAGCACTACACGAAAACCCTTGAGGCGCTCTCAGAGCTGTGCCTGTGTGAAAGTAGAGATTCACATTGGATTTGAATCCCTGGAAATTCAATCCATTTTGAAAAACGTTCTCAGGAAATTTATTCCACATGAACGCAGTTCTCCAGATGAAAGAGTTCTTAAACAGTGAAGTTCGAGGTGTACTGAGTTGAACCTCAAAACGATGAGCTGCCAGAGTCTGTCTCGTATTTCTGATGTGTACCGCTCTTGATGATGGAATCAAATGTGCCAAGTCAGTTGAATAATTTCCGTGAAAGTATCTATAGGAGAGAGACAAATCTCCAACCTTTCTTTGATGTTCCAGGCTATCAAGGTTGCATGTGATGTTCGCGTCTCCAATCAGATGGAATCTAGCAACTTCAGGGTATGTTTGGAGGCAAAGCTCTGTATATGAGAAAAATATTCCAGAGAAGGTCTGATTTGAGCTTTATAAAGCATCAAAAGTTGCTGAGGTGTGTACAGTTTTCTGGATCGGAACAGTGTTCCAAGCTATTGAGAAGCAGCCTTTGCAATTATAGCAACATGATTGTGCCTCAATTGATAATATATTCAATACATACAAAGTTGTGAAGTAGTCAATACATGTTTGTCTGACCATGATGCAATAATGTTTCTCTTATAATGGTCATGAATATCAGTCTTCCTCTGAGCATAAAGTCTATCCACTTTCAGTTTTTGTCGTCGATCTCTCTTTTTCTCAACGCTTGGAAGATTCTAGGGAACCATGGTTTACCCATTGATAAATAAATAAAGAAATATTGAAAATCTATTATTGTCAAATTTTCACTAAACAGTTTACAAAACTACAACACGTGCTTCGTACTATGAACCCGCCTGAGGAAGCTATTTAACGATTTTTTTTCCAATGACAAAACACAAGCACTACACGAAAACCCTTGAGGCGCTCTCAGAGCTGTGCCTGTGCGAAAGTAGAGATTCACATTGGATTTTAATCCCTGGAAATTCAATCCATTTGGAAAAACGTTCTCAGGAAATTCATTCTACATGAACGCAGTTCTCCAGATGAAAGAGTTCTTAAACAGTGAAGTTCGAGGTATACTGAGATGAACCTCAAAACAATGAACTGCCACAGTCCGTCGCGTATTTCTGATGTGTACCGCTTTTGATGGTGGAATCAAATGTGCCAAGTCACTTGAATACTTTCCGTGAAAGTATCTATAGGAGAGAGACAAATCTCCAACCTTTCTTCGATGTTCCAGGCTATCAAGGTTGCTATCAAGGTTGCAGATAGAATCCAGCAACTTCAGGGTATGTTTGGAGGCAGAGCTCTATACATGAGAACAATACTTGGAACACGGTTTTCCAGGCTTTTGAGAAGTGGCCTTTGCAATTCCATCAACATGATTGTACCTCAATTGATAATATATTCAATACATACAATTTAAAATTGCATATTGAGGTGCCTACGAGACATTGTAAATATTCATCAAGTCTATTGGATTATGTTTGCTCTAATATACATGAAGAAAAAATAAGTTGTGAAGTAGTCAATACATGTTTATCTGACCATGATGCAATTTTGTGTGAGTGTTCTTTTGATAACATTGACAAATCTTCAGTACAACAAACAAGGTAGGGTTTACAGCAAAACGAATTTTGAAAAATTATGTAATAATTCTAATTGGGGACATATAGTGACAACTGAGGATCCTCTACGTGACTTTCACAAAAAATTGCTTAGCATTTTTAATTAAGCTTTTCCACTTCAAAACATTAAACTTAAGAAGAAGAAGGCTTGGATGAAAAAGGGCATAAAAGTTTCAGCTAAAAATTTAAGGTGTCCACTATATTCGCAGATATTTCAGAGATCATGTTCTCTTCATCACCTACTATAACAATTATCGAAACATTTATAGAAAAATCATAAAAAATGCGAAAACAACTTATTACAGCAATCGAATATCAAAAGCAAATAATGAACAGCAGGAAACATGGAAAATTGTTAACGAATTGAGAGGAAAAAGCAAAAAATCTTTTGTTGATAGTGAACTGAGTTCAAACGAATTAAACACTTACTATTGTTCCATTGCTCAAAAAATAGCAAAAAAAATCAACAAATGAGAACCCAATGAGTTACCTTAGGCATGTAGCCATATCGAACTCATTCAACTATTCCCCAACCTCTGGAAATGAAATAAGAGAAATCCTCTCTAGCATAAAAAATAAAAACTCTTCAGGATGGGATGATCTTCTTAAACTGCCAAACACTGTATTAGATATCTTAGCGGAAGCTATAAATAAATCTCTCATAAGTGGTATTTTTCCAGATTGCCTAAAAACTGTTGAAGTTATCCCATTATTCAACTGAGGCGGTTTTAATATACCTGCGAACTTCAGACCTATTTCTTTACTGCCAACTCTATCTAAAATCGTGGAAAAGTTAATGAAAAAGAGAATCCAAAATTTTTTTTGACAAAAATCATATTCTTCACTCCAATCAATATGGCTTTCAAGCCTCTAAGAGCACAAATGATGCAATGTTTGCTTTTTTAGAAGAACTTTACCTTCAACTGAATGTTGATGAGGCTGCAGTGGCAGTATTTTGTGATCTAACAAAAGCATTCGACTGTGTCGATCACACAATATTGCTTCAAAAACTTGAAATCTACGGATTTAGAGGAAACATCTTGTTGTGGTTTGAGTCATATCTATCAGATCGCGTTCAAGTAGTGAATTTCAAAAGTTCATCACCAAATAAAATGAGCATTAAATGCGGAGTACCTCAGGGATCTGTCCTCGGACCTTTGCTGATTTTATTATATATAAATGATCTGGCATATATATTGATTTAAGGCAAATTCACAAGTTTTGCTGACGACACGTCTATACTTTGGCATGGAAGAAGCACTGATGCACTAAAAATTAGGGTAGAGCATGATATAGGCAAAGTTAAACAATGATGTAATGCCAATTTAGTATCTTTCAATGTATCAAAGACTATTATAATGTCCTTTAAATGTAACCTGGACCATATAATTCTTGAAGAACACATCATTGATCATAAACTAGAGAACAAATTTTTAGGCCTCAACATAGACAACAAATTAAAATTTGGAACGTATATTAGTATACTATGCAAAAAATTATCCTCAAGTTGTTATGTGATAAGGTCTATCTCTAACTCCTTGGACTATCACTCTGCTAGAAAAGCAAACTTTGCACTTTTCAAGTCCCACTTGCGGTACGGAATTTGTTTCTGGGGGAGCAGCTGTCAAAACTTACTGAGTCAAGTTTTCACAATACAAAAAAGAGCAGTGAGATTCATTACCAGAGCTAGAGTGCAAGATTCCTGTACTCCTCTTTTTTTAGCACATCACATCTTAACAGTCTACTGTTTCTTTATTTTAGAAACAGTCTGCCTAATGCACAAAAAGCACACAGATAACATCTCGAACTCAACTCAGAGTTATGCCACTCGTCTCACATTCAATATTCCTCTTCCTATCCCGTCAACAGCACAAATTGAAAATTCGATTCTTTATAATAGCAAAACATATTTCATTCATCCCCCCCTTTCAATCAGAGGAATTTCTTTCGGATGACTTCGCAACTTATAATTCCAACTTATAAAATTTTTTATCACAGACTTTTATCCATAGACTTTTTGAAGTGTGCTTGAGCCATATGAATATCTTATTTTAATTATTGACCTTTATTTTAATGTTTCTGATTGTTTTAGTTTTTAAGCCTGTTTTGTCAACATATAAAATTCATTATCACAGACTTTTACCATAAACTTTTTGAAGTGTGCTTGACCCATATGAATATCTTGTTTTAAATTCTTGACCTGTATGTTAATGTTTCAGATTGTTTTAGTTCTTGAGCCTGCTTTGTCAACAAAACCTCTTTTTGACTCTGACTCTATTGGTGTCCATTTTAACTCTCAACAAACTTATCGAAGCATTTTTATATCCAGTTCGAAGAAATTTATCTTCTTGGAGAAAACCAATGCCTGAGCTTTTGTGGCATTGAATTGAACCTGGTTACTTTCACCCCCAATTCGAAATCACTTCTGGATCCTCATTAAGATATGCAAGCTCCTGCTGCCGGTGAAGATGTGCCTCCGTAGATGATGGAATCCAAATGGAATGGCAAGACAAGTGTGATGTCGTCAGCAAAGCAATATATTGGATTCTTGTTTTTTTTAATAAGTCATTGAAACGTGTTGCGATTTTGTAAACTGTTACGTGGAAACCTGACACTAAAGTATTACTTGATTATGTTTGTAAAAAGTTTGTTTTGAACTTATTGCATTCTTCCTTCCTTCAGAAATTTCCCACAGTATTTGTATGAAGATGAAGAAGTATAAAGACAAAACCTTTTTGTCTGAAAATTAATCTCTTCTAAAAAAGATATCCCTTTCAATTGAAACAAAATTCCTATGCTGAAACTAAATCCGACAACATAAAAATGTCTTTATGTGGTATCATCGTGACATGAGTAGAATTGCATCTTCCGCTGACATAAAGTTATAGTGCTCCGTCTTGTAATGTTATCCAAAATGGTGTTGATGAGGAGATAGGACAGATATCTTGCTCCGAAATTTTGAAGTTACCATTGAGTATGATACCTGTTTCAATTCCATAAGGAAAGCCTGGAGTACAAACTGAGTAAATAAAAGTGACTTGTCTACTGTCTAATTATCATACTACCATTGAGATTCCAAAGCCCAAAACAACAACTTTTAAATAAAAATCAATCTTCTAAAATTGTTTATGCCTTTACAACAAACTACAAATTTTTTTCAGTAAAAGTTATCAATGACTATGATACATTCAAAAAAGAACCAGAAAGATGTCTAATCTAAGGGTTGCTCTATTCTATCGAGAAATTTTTCAGTCACTGAATGTCTATTATTTCATTAACAATTCTATACCATTAAATGAAGTTGATCTACAATTCTCTTCGAAAAAGTTTCCCATTCTTTTTAAAAAAAAAGAAAGCCTAAAATAATTTCTTCCAAATATTTTCCTTTGACAAAAGGTTTCTAAATTAATCACATGATTTTTTTTCAGAGGCCACACATATAACCTCTTGAATCATAATTGTAACAACTTCTCCCAAGAAATAGCACAATTTTTGTGTGCGGCATCTATACCAAAATACATACTAGACCTACCAAACGAGGTTTTGAATTCCAGTCTAAGTGGTGCCCTTGTGAGTTTGGTCGCCCAACTGGAGAACAGTGCAAGACCGATAGCAGAAGAACAAGCTAATAGCAAAAAAGAACCAAGTCCTGATTTGGAACAGCTCAACTCTCAGATTGAAGAAGCAAGGTCAGATTTCGAAGTGAATGGTGATGCTAGGCAAAAGAAAGATTGAAACTTGGGGCGTAAAGCTTGTGTGTTGCTTTAGTGTGCTTAGTTATTAACACTTATCAATTTTTTTTGGTAATTTTTGTGTCAAATAATTTATAAGAAAAGTGGGTGTGCTTTTTTTAAATAAACTTGAAATAATATTTCTCAAAAACTTCTTATTTTCGTTTTGGTCAGTTTTGGGATATTAAAGTAGGAAAAGGTTTTTGTATCATCGATTGTTAGAAAAGTCTTTATAACTATGAATATTGAATGGTTGGGTCACCCTTTTTGCTTCCATACTGTTATTGCAGGGAAAAATGTTTGCATAATATACAAAAAGCTTTTCAACTAGCAAATCATGGATAAACCATTATAATTGAATAACAGGTATGAGCAGAAGAATTGAAATGAATTTCTCACTAAAAAAAATTTTGGTAATTTAAATTTCAATCCTCATTCGTAATTCATGCAAAACAAAAATTGCAAAATAAAAAATGTGAATAGATACATAGCTGATGTTTATTTGGGCAGAATACAGCCTGATATATAAATAAGTCATTTACATATAAATTAATAGTGTAGGACTACAAAAACAAAATAAATAATCATAGTTTTTTATAGGCTTTTTTGGTTATTTTCTTCAATATTTTAGTTGACCCAATGAAATGAAGTAAAACTCCTTGACATCTGTAAAGGACTTTTGAAAATAAAACGAACCAAAGAAAAAACTGCCAGTATCATTTAGATTTTCACCAATTATGAATGTAGAGGCAGATTTTACCGTCTGAAATCTCAGATGAGTATCTGAATAATTTCTTAGCACTTTTTTTTGACAGGGATTATCATTAAATTCAACAAGTTACTGCTACTTTGTATTTAAACAGTAAGTTATTGAGGTGTACTAAAATACTGTGGAAGGTGAAGATACCAAAAATGGCCAATAAAAACTACGATTTCCTCAACAAAAAATTACTTTGGTTTAGTAAACAATCATATTGCAATAAAAAATATAATTATATTACTTGATTTTAAAATTTTGAAACCAATACAATCTTTTATTTTTTTAAACTTTAAATATCAAAGAGACGAATATTATAGCAAAGTAATGTTATTTCTGACTCAATGGAAACCACTAGTAAACTATTTTACATACCAAATATATTTGGTATGTAAAATATTTGGATGAGTAAGTATTATTATTATGTTATTGGCATTTGTAAAATTGGGTTAGTAGTAGTGTTTAGTTTCCTAAATTTACAGAATTGGGGGTAATCTGTTGATAAATAAATAAATCTTATCGGAGCTTCTAAATTAGTGTGCTAAAAATGTGTCATTCAGAAAAAAAAGGTTCACAAAATAACTCTCCGTACCTAGTTCTGAATTATTCAATTTCTGCTGATATTCTTTGTATATTTAGCATATTTTTTGTTTGCTATCTGGACGGTCAAAAACCACTTTTAAATATATATTTAATTCTTAAAGTGTTGATATTCAAACTATAGATTAAACATGCTGTTTATTCGCCAATCTTTGTTATAAATCATTTAAAAACTTTCAATTTCAATGTTACTGTAAATAATGTTCGTGAATATAACGCACATCAAAACACTTCCCAGAAAAGTCGTCAAGGTTTAACATTCTGCTTGAAAGTGAAATATGTTTGTTCAATAGTATTTTTTCTCTTTATCGAAATTTAAAAAAGGTATAAATGAAAATTCAGTTTAAGTTTAACATGTGTTGTATTTCTATTTTAGTAACTAGGAATTCATTCCAGTCCACCTGATTGTCCATTCTGGTTGAAACATCAAAAATTATTCGAAAAAATTCCGATTCATGTCCCTATAAGCCATAATTAACTCTTATTTTCTGATAATTTTTTGAGCATGACTAATGAATATTGATTTTGTACAAATACATATTCTGACTAAAAGATTGACTAGTGACAAAAAATACATACAGTTAGATTTGATTAGGTTAGATTTTACATTCCATTATATTGTTCACAAAATAACAGGCGTATAAATTACATTTAGAAAAAAATGTTTAAATTTTCACTATCCTTTCTTTAAAAATATTCAAAAAATTATACTAAGCTTTCTGTACTATGAGAATATTTGAAGCTTTGTTTTTGTTATTGATTAATGAAGTTGAACATTCAATTCTTTTAATATGGAAAAATCCGCTTCAAATTTATATTGAATACAGTAATTCATATAAAAGAAGAACCACAAATTATCAATATGAACTATAAAGTATCAGCATTCAGCAGTAGCTTGACTTACTGCTGAGTAATTTTTCTTAAATTTGAAGAATAACATATTCAAATTGTATTAAAATAGTTTATAAGTCACACACTTGAATATCACTGATGTCACCTGAACTTAAGAATTGTTCATCAAACCCTCTTGGTGCATTTCGAAGTGATAGTGTTTCATAAAAAATCATTTAACTGAAATTTTTTATCAATGCTTTTTTGAATTTGGAGTACAAACCCGTGTTTCACCAACAAAATTGATGTCTTCGAAAGATGAAGTAGTTCTGGTGTTTGGGAGGCAATTGAGACAACAATTAAAAATCAATTCAAACTTCAAGAAGGGACTTTTTTTCTATCTTCAAAAGAAAATGGGTGTTTGAGAAACTTTTTACGGTATTCTAAAATGGGTGACCCTATCCTATAGGGAACAGATAATTCAGAAATATTTTCTCTAAAAATTAAAACTTTTTCTAAAATTTAAGGATGCTAAATGTTTTTTAGGAAGTTATTTTTGGTTTTCTACTTCTCCAAATATCCTATTTTGCATAAAGATGAAGAAGTAAAAAGCCAAAACATGTTTTCCCAAAAAAATAATCTCACATAAAAAAGCCCTATTCAATTTAAATATTAAATTTCATTAGGGTATTTCTAACTTTATGCACTATCTTTGGAAAACGGGACTCTATTTTGGTGATTTTTTTTCAGTAATCTGTTGAAAGGATTATTTCGAAATCAACTGTTTCAATGTACAGATGTACTTAAATTTTTGTGAACGTATAACATTGACCAATATTTTATGTGATACATCTGAATAAAGTACTAATTGAAGTTTTTTCTTCAATTTCAGAATATTACTTTTTTGGTGTTCTTCTGTTATCTTTTACAATTTAGAAGTTGCAAATGCAGATTTTAACAAGTATCGGGAAAAAACATTTGTTATTAACTGCAATTCTATGAATTACGATCCTCAATAAGTCTTATTACTATTTTAATTAAAATTTTGAGAACTATGAACAGAAGGTAAAAAAAGTGATGATAGAATTCAATAACTCAGTATATAAGAAATAGTATCCATACCAGCACATTTCGATAGAAAGGGTTTTTTGTATGGTTACATTATATGTTATCCTACAAACAATTGGGGTGATAAATATCATTTCGAAAAGTTGTAATTTTTTTCTTAGTTCAAGCATCAAAAATCATATATAAGGTGTTGAAAAAATACTCATAGACATTCGGCTTAGATTAATACCTTGAGTTTAAAGTAAGACAATTGGGATATATTATTTCTCAAAAGATAGTTCGAGAGTAAAATCAGGACTATTTTATGCATATTTACTGAGATATTGAATTTGCTTCTTACTTTAAGTAAAAACCGTATGACTATTTCATTGAATATATTCGAATTTTGTAAAATATGTTTTCAAATTAATATCCTAATGTTTTGATATAGACTTAGAACAGTAAAAATACATTTTCTTGATCATATTCCACATTCCTGAAAATTTGGATAGCGAACAGAATGATAATTGTTTTCAATTGCATACTATAACTCTTGTATGCCATACTCTTTCTTTTGTGAGGCTCTAAAGTTGGAATGTTGATCATCACCTCACTACATATAGCCTTATTCTTCTCTTTTGATTCTTGTCCAAAAAAAGATATCAATACATTTCTTCATTTAAGCCCATAGTCTAAATATATTCCTTCAACAACAAAAAAACTTTGAATAAAATTGATTAAATTTTCTCTTACTTTTCTATTCACTTTTGCGCCTTAGCTGAAAAAAAATCAAAACAATTTATTTGACCAGATCATTATTGGTTATCAGATAATATAAAAACAGTAATTTGACAATTGGTCTCGATGGAAATGTTCCTATAAATTCATGAAGGATATTGTTTATAATTCATTTGCTTTGAGTTCAAACTTAGTATTTGATTGTCTTATTGAAAAAATGGAAAGAGGTTTTGTTGATATTCCTCAAACTTCAAACTCGATTTATTTATTCCAGAATAGGCATATTTATTGACGTCTATTTAAATAATTGCATTAAATAGATAATCATCTTAGATTCAACACTCAATACATTTCTCTATCATTGTTCTATTTGTAACAGTAGTAGCTGATTATTTAATTCTAAACTTTTCCATTTGATTTCTTGTTTTGATTATTCCATTTTCATGGCCTTTTCTCGTTTTCTGGTTATAGAATTTGTTACTTGAATACCTTGATTTTTAGGAATAAGTATCAATTTCTCCATCTTGCCTATTTTTGGCAGACATGGCCCTGATGTGCTCTCAGTCTGATTTGTCCCTGACCTTGATCATCTCGGGTTGTATTGTTTTGAATCCATGTGTTGCTGGTTCAAATCAGGCTCGGAGGACCAAAATGAAATATATTCGTCAAGAGTCTACAGAAAGAATGAAATTGAACAGAAATGAACTTTTATCAGGAACTAAATTCAAAGTTGAAAATTATTGATGATTAAAAATATGACAACGCTTTTTTTTTTTTAGTAATTCAAATAACGATAAAATTCAGAGTGAATGGAGTAAACGAGAACAGTAAATCTGCTAGAATGTTCTACATCATCTCAAAATTGTATTTTTTTATCAATATTTTATGACAATAAAAATTATTTATTGTATTCGAATTTTCAGATATGTAGTACAGAAAATTCGAAAAACTTGATTGTTGCATGTTGATTTTAAAATATATGCATGGGTGTGACGAAACTAAGTTTAATAGCCAATTCTATCAAATAACCATCTTTTGTATTGAAATTGTATTAACAAAAGGGCTCCTGTACATAAATTGGTGTATTACTAGAATGATTTAAGTATGTATGTTTTGAAGTATACACACACTTTTATATTTTTCTTACTGTTTTTTTGGGTATACAACATTCCATTATCTGAGAAATAAACAAAGCTAAATCAATAGAGAATCTGCTGAAGTGTAATAAAGGGCAGTTTTTCAGATTGTGGAAGGTTATATACCCTAAACACAGTAAGAAGTATTGAGTCCTCCACAAAAAAATGTCTTTGATACTTCAATATTTCTTCCGAAATTCTTCACTTGCTTGTAGTTCTTTTCTTCGGCTTCATAAAATAAACTTCTATGAGTATAAGCGGTGTCTTGTTTTCCCCATTCATTTAATAAAAAAAGAACTGTAAGTATGAACCATTCAGTTGAAATTTTTCATTTCTGTATTCAAATTCACTAAAAAAATACTATTGTTTACCATCTATTCATCGTTTTAGGTATAACTCATTCATTTTGGAACAACGTAGAAAAACTCTCAGGGAGAAATTAGCAAAGAAAGAACGTAAGAAGGAGAAAAAACGCANTGTTTATTTGAATACCATTATTATAGGGAATATGTCGTTGTCTTATTTACTCAGGCTTTGAAGACGGTTGAGTCCAGCAATTCATTTGTGGTTCAGCCTAGCACCACTGATGAAACCTATGGCGGGCCAAAATAGCGCTCCTGGTGTTAAATAATAAATGCGTTGTGTTTGGACTCTCATTTCCAACTAGTATACTCTTAATAAATGTTCAACTGTCAAGTTTGGATTGCATTCTTAAAATTATTCAGACTATGATTAGCCTACTCTGAATTGTTGAAAAAACTACTCAAATAATATAACGTTCTGACTCCACGACATTTAGAAAGTTGCTCGAAATGAATGTTGATTTTTCTGTCATCAAATAGAGTGAAGTTATTCTCTGATATTCATGATATTGCGTTCAAAATTCAATACAAATATTTTAGTAAAGGTAAATAAAATACAATATTAAACATTTCCACAGAATTACATAAATTATTGCTCATATTATTGGTAACCTCAATTTCATAAAGCACAATTGACATGACCAAATTATTTTTTGATGAATTACCTCAACTATTAGATGGCATTGTGTTGTTAATCACGTGACTTTTCTCTGCTCCATTGGCAGGAGTAAGTTTATGAACTCTACTTTTATAATCAATGTAGAGGAGTAATCAATCAGTTAAATAATGGGTTTACGTAAATTTTTTTTTCAGGTGAAAGCTGAATTTGATGCATTGATTGGACTCATTGATGGTAAACTAACCCCCGAAGAGCAGAGAGCCACAGAAGAACTTCACCAATACATGATTGGTGATGAAGGCAGTTGGGCTTTAAGTGATGGGTTTTTAGATTTTGTTGGTATGTCTTTGAAATTTCTTCTAATCATTCCAAACTATTTTGGTCTTTTCAGGAAGGTTACTCAATGATAAGCAACTTTCTTTAGAAGTTAGAGTGAGAACTATGAATATATTGGCAATGGCAGCTTTGAAAGATGACGTTATTTTAGTATTGCATCAAGATCGCAAGGATCATGTTTTGATGAACTATGCCTTTGAAATTGACAGGCTAAGTCCTGAAGAGCAAGAAGCTATAGCCTTATTCGTAAGTAACATATTTTTCAGTTTTTTTTAGTAGACAGTTTCTTCCATTTTACAAAACTTGATTATTTGTACTATTCATGATAATAAATAATTACAAATCTTCACAATATAGAATTTATTTCCAATACGCGTTTCACTACAATAGTAGTACCTCAGTTAGACTGGTTCAACTGAGTAAACTATTGTCTTAGTGAAAATCTCATTGGAAATAAAGCCTATATCGTGAAGATTTGTAATCATGAATAGTTTATTGATTTCCACCAATAACGAGTCAGTATATTCAAAAGTTGATCGTTTGTGGTATTAAAAGGTGATATTAAAAGTTTTTTCAGCATAAAATTTGAAAAAATATCAAATATTGATTAGTTGAGTGATTGTATCATAATCTGAAAGAATTCGTTTGACTAGCTCGTTAAACATTTTTGTTGTTTGTTGTTGTTTGTAAACAGTAACTATTCGGATCAAAATTACATTTCTAAATAACAGAACTGTGAAAGAATTTTTCAATAGTGCTTCAGGAGATTTACTATGTTTAAATTGAATGGGATATATTTTTAGGGAAGATTAATGTTTGGGAAAAAAAGGTTTTGGCTCTCTACTTCTCCATTACTATAGTAAAAAATGTGGTAATCTTCCAAAGAAACAAAGAAAGCATCATCTATACAAAGATGTATAGATGATGCAAAGAAGTGACTTTCCGACACAAACTGAAAGAAAAAACCTCTCTCGAAACAGCTACTTTCATATAATAATAATAATAATAACTTTATTGTGCATAAGTTTCACACAAAAGGGTAGGGATTAGCCTATGGCTGTCTCTCACCCCTTCCTGCTTAATAAAATTAACATTTTCTATAGATAAGATATTGGCATAATATAATTCAATTTTCTTCAAGCACACTTCATATAAAGATGAATTCAGGAGAGGAATTATCCTGTTTAAGTATAGCGGTGCCAGATAAGAAATGCATCCTTCATATTTAGATGTAACATGATTTGGAATGTTGGAAATTATTGAAGCTTGTATTGATATTACGGATATCAGAATGACCTACTATAAGCTCAAACAAATATATGGCTATTTTGATTTTAATGAATTCAACAAGAAATATTGTGATCAAATATTCCATTCTACACTTTGTTCCATCCTCTAAAATCTATCAAAAAAGGAGTAATGGGCTCCCTATAAGGTACACAGCAGACAAAGCGCATACAAGAATTTTGAATGCATTGCAATTTTTGTCGAGTTTGAGTTTCGTTTCGGTTGAGAGTTGATATTTAAATTTTTGAAGTGATTTCAGTTTGAAAAACGCTATTTTAAATATGCTCATTAAAATTCAGGTTAACCGATTCAATATCAGTTTGATTCATTTTGATAATATGTTGTCTCTGAGAGCCTAAGCAGATTGCAACAGTTTTGTTTAGGTTGATACGCAAGCCATGTTTTTCAGAAAAAAAGTGGGTGTTTTGGAGATGTTCATTAATATTTCTCACATAGCTTTCCAAATCAGACAAATCGAAAAAATTAATACACAAAAACGACAATAGTGTAAACATGATGGAAATATGAATATGACAAATAATAAGGACCGAGAATACTACCTTGGGGTATTCCAGAAATAGTTTTCTAAAGTGTAGAGCATAGCAAGTTACTATCAATCGTTACTCTTTGTAATCGGTCTTAGATGTACCTATTCATTAAATCTAACGCTCTTTACTGAAACTGAATGAATTTTAATTTTGCAAGAAGCTAAAAATTGACACGATCGAAGACTAAAAACGATGGTACAGATTTATCACCATAAATATCATTTATGACTTCCAGAAGAGCCGTGTGTACCACGTTTCAAACGAGAGCCGGACATAACTGCTGAATTACACGAAACAAAAAATACTTTTGAAACAACTGTTTTTATGTGAACACTGAATTATTCAAAAAACATATTTCTGTATTCAATTTGTAATCCAAACATTCGTTATGGAATTGAATTAGATATCATTCACGGGATTGTTACAGAATATGGTAAATGAAAGAGGTAACATTTCACTTACATGGAACACTGTCATCCTCACTGGTAGATATCCGATGTTTTGGAATAAGACACTTTTGCCTGTTTAGCATCAATGTGGACAATATTATAACATTATAAAATAAAGCACTCAATTCATTCATAAAAACTTACAACTTTATGTCACGAGTTGAATCTACTCATGTCATAGATGATAGTACGTAATGACATTTATTTGCTTATTTATAGAAATACAAAGCCAAAACACTTCTTTTTCAAAAATTTACTATGTGTTTACTATTTTTTTTATCGACATTATTTGATTTTTTAGATGACTAATATGTTTGAAAATCTCAGTTCTTCTGAGTGGCTCCTTTATATTTCGGAATGGACATACAATAATCAACAAACAAGCAATATTCGAGTTACCACCAAAGTTGCAGTGCATTGTCTGTTATCTGACATGCCTAGTCTACAAGAAAGGGGCTCAGCAATTATTCATAACCTAGCTTGCAAGGAGGTAAAAACTGTGGTCTGTATCATTTTCTTAACCTGCTTCGAAACCTGACACATTAACCTCCCAAAATTTGTAACCTTAATTTAAAATCATATATTGATTGTTCGAGTTTATTTTAATTGGCATTTTTATTTAGATTTTGTGAGGTAATGTATTTATATGATCTTTTGTGAGATTTTTTATTGCTATTACACAAGGAATTTTTAATGATAAGTGAATACTGGGAAACATGACTAGCCAGAAGTTCCTAGTTATTTTTCAATTCATTTTATTAGCCTTGCCTCTCAGAAAAATAGTTGAATAAATTCTTAAAAAATTCGAAGAAATAAAAGTAGTCAAAGTAAGTGGTTAATCTACATCTCAACAGAAAATATAATAGAGCATCTATAAATTGATGGATATTGAACTTCTGGAGTAGAATGAATTAATGCTACTACTGGACACCTTGTTTAGCTAAGCGCACCTTGTTTGAAGACTCCACGGAATTCGACATGTCTCATTGACAGCATACCGGGTGGTTATGCAGTCATGTGGTCTCAAGCTCACCTTATTTTAAAGGCTAATGTAGACTGCTACGATTCTATTTCACAAAGTTTTTGATGCCTGGCCAGAATTACAGTGTTGTCATATAGCACTACGACATGCTAATATTTACTAACAGTCGCTAATAGGATGGTGTTATGCTCAATATGCTTGTTAAATGTTCAGAACAAGTAGGCACTGTTGGGAGATATTGGTTTGTTACTTGGCTTGACATTTTAAGTCTTTACATCGACCCTCCATGGTAGCGATGTAGCACATAGCTGATATAGTGTTGAAAGGTGTAGTGTTAAAGTGTTAAACATCATCTTGGAAGGAATTAAATTAAATGCTTCACTATGTTGCCGAAGATTCGTCAAAACTAGTAAGTTGAAGATGAATGAACGGATAAATTCCTAGTTCAAATGAAATTTCACTGGAATTGAAGGGGCAAAATAAGGACAAGTTAAGATATCGCTAAAGCAATAACAAAGAAACCTGAACAACTTCTTTGGACTTGAGACTAATAATGAAACTCACTGAGCACTGTCTTAATAAGACTTGCTGTTATTGACATTATACCATGAAAATGTTGGTGTGTTCTGAACAAGGTTTTAGTTTTATGAAGAAACAACCCAAGTAACTATCCCCCAAGGCTAATTAACTCCCCTAGAAGTCTAAGTATCCTGAACTTCGAAAAAATTAGACAGAGCTATCGGCTAGTTTTGAATGGAATGTAGTAAGTTGTATTATAAATTTGTGTTCACAGATACAGTAGTGTATAATTGAGTTAATCATTTTGAGAGTCCTCATTTGATAAAAAATATCAAGTATTTCAGATAGCTATTATCAAAAAAATATATAATCATTAAAAATGTTACATGTGAATTTTAGAACTGATTTATTGATGAATTTTATTGATGATTTGGAATTGTATGCAACAAAAAAAAACCAGAATATTCTTAGATTAGGACCTCATTTTTAAATTCAACATTATTTTATTTGTTTCACTATTGTCAACCATTGGTTCTTTATCTACATACTTTCTATTTTTTTGTTTTCTACATCAGCTCTGCTTGCCACTCAAAAGCTATCCCAACAAATTTTTATAGGAGTTTGAAAAATAAAAAAAAATTGGTTGTAGTCCAAACTAGAAATTTATATTCGTTAAATTTCAGAGAGAAAAGTTCAACCAGTTAGAATGACCTGAGATAGAACGACATGATTTATAAAAAAGTGCCTACAGTTTTCAAATTTGCCTAAGTATCATCTTGATACTCTTGAGATCAGCTGCTGTTACCATTTTCATCCGAGCAACGCAATGGTGTGCTATCAGCGACTAAATATTAACATGCTGTATTTTTTTGATGGAAATCACTAACCCTATCGTTATTGAGCACAAAATCCAACTTTTTTGGTTGATTCAATCACCCTTTTCGTTTCAGTAGAATAAGAATTTTAATTTTCACCTTTGACTTCAAGTATCACTACATATAATGTCATATATCTTTTAATAAATATCAGAACTGGAAATCACACTTAAGTTCACTCAATAAAAATATAAACAACCATCATTTTAAGATTACTGGTCAATTGACCATTAGAAACCCCTTGTTACGTTAGGGTTCTCATTTACTTTAAAATATAACTTGTCCAGCTCTCGACCTCTCTACAACAATGCATGGTTGAAGGAACTGTAAATAGCCTTGATGTTTTGTAGGTAGCTTGGGGCTTAACATAGCCCCCCACAACATGAGGCTGATGACCAATAATAGTTGATGCTGTTAATACACACTGATCAGAAAAAAAATTCAAGAAATGTAAATTGATACAACTTCTTGCCGTTAATAATTAAATCATTCAAACCCATATCAATTCTTTGTAGTTTGGTTATTTCTTATTCAACATCATTTTAATTCTTTTCTCATTTTGTTTCTTCATTTTTTTCATTCTTGTTCATCCACAAATAAATTTAACTTTTATTTTGAAGATCAGATGCTCTGTTTGGCTTTATGATTTCAGAAATTCAGAAATTTTCGGATTCGGCAGTGTTTCCCAAAAGGCAGCTTATCAAAGGTAGCTTTTTGTGTCTGCCTAACAAATCAGCTGAAGCTCCTATTGCGTAATAGCATTTATATAGAATATTTGTTGTGATATTACTTCAAGTGTTACTTTCAAATGCCTTTGAAATGTCCGAATATCTGAAAAAAGTATTTTATTGGGAGGTTATTGTTTTGGAAAGTACCCTTTTTTGCTTTCTACTTCTTCAGTATAAAAAATGGAAAAATTACCCAAAAAAAGGAAAACAAAACATTAACTAATATAAATAAAAATTTTAAGAATTTTTTCATTTGCAAATGAAAAGGATGGATCTTTCTCAAATTACTTCTCCCTACAAATTATTTCAATCAAGTAACTTTTTCTGTTTCAGTTTATACATATATTTCAGAAAAAACGTTATACAATGAATAAATCAAATTCTAATAATAATGGTAATTATGATTTTAAACACTGCAGAATATAAAGAATAAACAATATGCATATTCTGATGAAGAATACCATTTCCTTTTATTCAGACATTTTGGAGAAGTTATCAAAATCTTCATTAACCAGCACTTGGATATTAAAAATCGCACATTGATTAATCCCTTAAATTTGAAAAATGTATCTAACCAAGTCCAAGTGAATTGATAAAAAGGAGAAATAATAAACATTACATTCATGGGAACCTTAAATCTTCATAGTGATAAGTTATTTGTACATTTAAGAGAAATACATAACATGTAAAAAGCTCTGGTGGTCTATATTTCACAATTACTCAAATTTAACACCCTGTATCTTCCATCGGAAAGAGTTCTTTTTTCTTTGTGTTATGTCAATTAACACTTTATTGAGATATTTGATTACATTATCATGGATTTTATTTTCATCAAGTATCGCCCAATTTCATCATTTAAAAATCTAATGAATCTGAAGGAAACGAAATTCTCAAAAAGAAAATTTGCAAATTTCATTTCTACTCAACAGGTTATTTGAACTGAAGAATACAAAAATTTGTAGTAATGTTTTAGATTGTCAATAATTTGGGAAAAATCTGTAAAAACTTGATTGATATATAATTTTTTTTTGAAACTAAGATATATCGAAAAATAAATTCATTTTTGATGCACATTGTGGGAGTAATGGACCGTTCATTATGACACATCCTATGCAGTAGTTTATCATTATATTTCATTTTTAGACTGCACACAATTTCATCTTGTAGGTATGAATATTAAAATACATATATTTTTTATGTTTCTGATAAATCGAGAAATACCATGTTGTATGTTTGAGGAAGCTCAGCCATATGAGAAGTGAATTGAAGGTTTGGACTATTGATTATCTCAAAAGTCACCCTCGTATTCATGACAAAATTTATTCAGGGTTAGTACCTCCTCCTAAGGGCCATCAGTTCCCTCACACCCCCCTACGACTGAGAGGAATGAAATTTGAACTGGCTAACCCATTAAGATTGAAGGTTATCCGGATATACATCCAGTGGGGTCCAATGACTAATGGACTCCTAACTTTGGCATAAGAAACAGTTTTTATGAAACAAATTCCTGTTTCATAAAAAAAATCTTTGCCTTTAGATTAAAACAGTAAAATAATTAAAACACTAAATAAACTTTTAATGCAAGAGTTTCAAAAAATCAATTTAGTGAGGTACATGGGTTTGAAGAATCATTTGAAAGTATCGTACAGCTTGTCAAATATAGGAAGAGACTTCAAAGTCTCGGCTTAGGACGTTCCCTAAGATGCGCCTTCGTTAGATAACTGAGTATGTTAGAGAGAAAGTGAGAGAGAATTCTTAAGTCTTTTCCTAGTTTTGACAAGCTGTACAGCGAAATACAGTTGGGACAAAAAAAATGCACATCCGGCATTAACAAAATACGAGAAAAAAATATACTTTTTTTATAGAATCTTTTCTTCGACAATTTCTTTGATTTTCAATCCGTTTGACAGTTCACATATTTTTTATTGGTTTCTATGGTTTGCATTATTTCATACTACATAAATAGTTTTCACTACTAATAAATTGTGGGCACCTCATATCTCACAATAGCCATATCGTTTCGTTTTCATTAGTTTTTGCCAGTATGTGAACTTATATCGGTTGGACAAATTGATGACGCATGTGTTTTCTTGTATAGTCCAAACGGTATATGCATTAGTTTAGTGAACTGTTTTTGTGAAAACATAATAAATTCTAATAAAAGTTTATTCATGTAATGTTACAAATGCCCTAACAAGCCTAACCTCCAGCTCACAAATTATTGCAATTTACATTTCTGTGACAACTTGTATTCACATCACGGCAGGCATCACAAGCTAGGCAGTAAGTTATTTGATAATGAATAAAGGAGAGATCAGTGGCGTGCAGCTGTTTATTGAATAATTGAAATATTTGCATATACTTTGAAAATAACTTTTAAAAGAGAGAGAATCCAATAAAATATACTTTAAAAATTGTAAATTTCAACTTATTTTTCATGATCTCTATTATTAGTTTAGTAATTATTGGTTCATTAAGTCTCTATAGTTTCCGATTTAATAATAGTATTATAAAGTAAAACATTTTTCAACCACGTTTTATTGCTTTCTTATGTCATTAACAGTAAATTTAGCATTAGAAATGTAAATCGTAACCTAAAAAAATTTAAGGAGGGTTAATTCAATGTATCCAATGAGTTAGATAATATAGATATAATCTGATATACACATTTTAATTTCAGCAAATATTCATTTTAAAATCAAAACTGTTTCCTGAAGACTTAAACTTCCCGAGTATTTATGTTAATTACATGTCTTACATAAATAACTATTTTCTGATTTGATCAAATCTTATTTTCATTTGTAGGTGTTTGATGATGTAGCAGTTGAACTCACCATGGCTTTACTCCAATACTTCAATTCCAAACCACAAGAAGAACAACTTTTCAGATGTATGAAGGCGTTAGCAAAATTTGTTCAAGTTTCATCACAAGAAGTTCCTCAACTCATACAGATGATCGGGCCGGATCCAAAGTCATTCAGGGGCACCAGTGAAAGAATTGATAATCTCATTGATCAAATCAGTACAAAAGTTCGCTAACTGCCATTTTTATTTATCAAAATGGACCTGTGATCAACAAAATGCTTTTGCCATTTAATTGCAGTACTTATTTATTCTATTGGTCATTTTTTATTATAAATTCATTAAATGGATTAGAATGATATGAAACAAACTAGTTTGGCATTTCAAATGAATAAAATTCATTTTTACATTTTTTTCAAACTAATCGATCTATGTTTTTCCTTACATTAAATAACACAGTACCTAGCTTTTCAAAACAGTGTGAAGAAAATTAATAAATATGAAAAGTAAAATGATTGTAGAGTTTTTTACATTTTTACAAATATTTTATTGTTTGTTTTTGTAGTATTATTTTAATAAAGATATTACCCAATTTGTTTTATTTGCATGAATTTCTTAATTTCATAATTGATGATTAATGATCCAGTTCATTTTGATATTGAAATTTTAACAATAATAATAAATGCTTTCGTTGAAAGGTTACTCGAGGAACAAGAGATATTAACCTAATAAACGGCCTAATTCAACATCTGCACCTGCAAATTCAAGGCAGAAATTACTCTACCATTAATCAGCAGCTACATAAACTCAATTAGTCCCTTTACATAAGAATCAAACTTTAAAAATTTTTTATTGAAGTTGGTAAAGTCAAAAGGGAGGAAGAATTGGTTCTGGTTTTGAACCCACAAAATATTAATTTTGTAAATTATAACAGGTTCTTTGAGTGCAAAGACAATAACACATTTTTGTAAGAATTCACAACTTTCGAAAATAAATAGTAAAGTGAGGTATAAAATTGGCTGTTAGGCAAAATAACAGAAAACTGAGATAACCTATAGAGAAGAATGATGGATTAAAACTAGTTTGAAATTAAAGTTTCATTGAAATTTTACGAAATCAAGATGTTTTACCACCTAAAAATAATGTGGTATAACTTATCATGATGAAATCTAAAGCAAATGGAACTTCAAACGTTCAAGCCAGTCTCGAATATACCTACACAGTAGGTTTAATGGACTGACGCCTATCAGAAAACAACTACTCCCCTGGCTAATACCACGAAGGGCGTTGGATTATAGCAGACAAACGTCAGTGCAGGAATCTTCACAGAAAATGTCCTGCATATGCAATTGGCAATACGACTGAAAGAGTCGACCTTCAATTATTATCGACCTAAAGTCAATGATATTCCACAATTGAAAATCGGAATTCTCTCAGAGTATTTCATTCCTCTTTGTTTACTGCCAGTCTTCAAGCATAGCTCACTGACTAATAAGAAAGTTATCATGATGAGTTTGAACTTTCTTCATTAACCGACTAGTTATTGTTATTCTAATATTGAAACATCATTTGGTAAACCTGTTAAAAACCAGACTAATGTTGCATTAACATGTAGTTTCATTTATTATAAAAAAAGGGATGTATATTATATTTTCAATTGTTTTATATGAAAAATATAAATTTCAAATCCCAGTATTGTTGGAATTCATTATGTATTTAGATTGAGAACTGAAATTAGACTATCAGAAATAGTGTTCCTATTTAGAACATGAAACTTTCATCATAATTATTAGCTATCATGTTGAAGTTTTGGATTAGAAAGTATTGTTTAATTGAAACGTATGATCAGTTATACACTGAGTAGTATATACAAGAGTAGTTATACACTGAATCGGGTGTATCTTATGGTACCATCTTTTTCCTGTTACAATTGTAATTCTTTACCAACTGATTCAATTATATGTAATTTTCTGCCATAATAATACTGATTATACAGTTTCATTACTTTGATTCACCCCCTTTCTCTCTCTTAAGTAAAATTCTTCCATTTCAATATAAATCTTTGTATTGCATTTTTTCTACTGATTTTTGCAAAAGTGACTCGTTTATTTCCAACTTTAACTTAACAAAAATAACTACTTAATAAAAAATAACTACTAATGACTTTTTCAATAAAAATGTATTTACGAAGTTTTGACAGGTATCTATTTTAACATCTGACAAATCAATCAACAACCTCACATTAATCATTTTCTAAATTTTGTTCCTTCTAAAAACTTTATACTGGGTGCTAATGACTAAGATGATGTGACACCACAAATCGAACTTTTATAACCTAACTTCTTTTCTTACAACTTGTTGAAGCTCTAACCTCTGATATTTTTTTCCAGGATACAAAACCCCATTTTAATGTATCAGGGAGCTACACTTGTTTATAAAAAAGTTTAGAAATCTCAGAAAAAACTCAGTTCAAGATTATTATGAAATATATTTATTGTACAATTATTTCATGTTGAATTTTACAATGGAAGGTGTTTTCTCCAAAATTGCATATTCCCAACCTAACAGTTTTGATTTTACAGGAAATACTAATCCAGAAAAAATCCTACTCAGTAACAAATAATTACATTTCATTTCAAAAAATGCACTAGCAGATAACTCTTGGGAAAATATGCATTGAGAAATACAGAAATACACCTTATATATTTTACTTTACATAATTTATAGGTAATATCACAGTTCAATAAATAACTGAGTAAAATATGCAAACTGTTTCAGAAACATTGGAATGCTGAGACTATTGGAAAATATAAAAATATAGTTATAGCATGAAACTAATGGAGTATTTTACTAAGCTACATACATATTTGATAAAAAAAAGTTTTTGAGAATATTGTTCAATTTTAAAATTAACTAAAAAATTATTTTTCAAGTAATATGAAATAAGTAGGTACCTATTATCAATGCAAATCCATAATTTTCTCAAATAAAAAGATAATTAATACCAAGTTCCTATTATGGAAGAAGCATCTTTCTATTTCAATGTTTTACAAAAGAATAATGGCAAAAAAATTAATTTTAGGGAAATATTGCCGTAGTTAGAAATTTTCTGATTAGCAGATTTACAGATGCAAATTATGAATTTCTTCATTGATTCAACTTTTTCAGAGAATAATTTGCAGATTTATTCAAATCAAATCATTTTTCTGATGAATTTATAATTGATACATTCATTTTGACCTTGAGTACATTAATTTGCCCAAAAATAACCAAATAGTGGAAATGTCCAAAAAAGTAAATGAAATATTTTTGAAAATTAGTTAAGAATATTAGGCACAATCGGTTTTTAAGACATAAACCAATTTACTACTACCCTAATTATTTACAGAGCAAATGCTAAATTTAATTATATCTATTCAACAAAAAATGAAACAGTATAATTTCAATTGTTTGAAGATGGACTTCAGAGTGATTTACTTTTTTCTAATCATTCCTCATGTGCCTGAAATAGTAACTATAACTCATCACGAGACCTTGACTTTTGTTGTATACCATGATAATCACCATTAGAGTTCGTATAAGAATTTAACTTATTGAAATATTCCTGAATCTTCCCATGACTCTGAGAAGAATGAGCAAATAACAAATGCAGTTGTCGTAGTTGCCTTAATTTGTGTAACAGAGCCTGTTTATGACGTTCATTTGAAATTCGCCAGTCTTTCAAGATGCTATTAATCAATAATAATGTCTCTTGTAAAAGCGTTGAGTAACATGACGATTTTTCTTCTGGAAACTGTAACAAAAATGGGTTATTACATTTCCAATAAAAATATATAAAACAATACATACTGAAATATTACTTAGAATATTCAGTAAAGAAAAAAAAATGTCGAAACGATAATTCATTCATTGATTCAATTTTGAACTAAATCATGAAAGTCAGAAGAAACCTTGGATATCATTTTTTTTGTAAATATAAGCAAAAGTCACATGATTAAATTTATTCCAAAATTGATATGGAAAAAATATTGTTGATACAAGTACATGATCTCTGTGATTCGACGAACTAAGCAGAATCTACTGTTCATCAAGTTTTAAAAAAATGTTTAAAATATGTTTTTCCGTTAATCAGCCGTCGCACTCCTACGAACGACAATACTCGAAAGTCGAAACTTGTGCGACTAACGAGGTCTTACCTTTTAACGTGTGATTCCTAACACGTTAAAAGGTAGTCATAATCAAAATTTTTTTCTCGATTTTTTGGTGAAGTAGATAAATATATAACATACATTACTTCAATTGTTTGTCAGTCGTTGCTGGGATTTTAAGATATATCTTTGGTCTTCTCAGTCAACGCACATACCACTGATGATGTCAGCCACAGTAGCAAATGAAACTTTTGGTACTTAAGGCTCCATTCGACCACGGCCTCCTATCACGGATTTTTTTCTCTCTAATTATTTCATTTTATTTTTATTAAACATGTTAAAAGGGTTAATGTCTACGATTTTTGTTGAGAAGTAATATTTACTCTTTGGAAAGTATGGAAATACTAATAACTTCACAATAAAATTTTCCTCTGCTTGTGAGGGATCATATATTCTTTCTCAAAATATTGAAAATATAAAATTAATTGTTAGCTGCGAGTATAGTTTTTCACTTAACAACACCATACTACCCCAGATAGCTCAAGACACGGAGGGAATAAATATTATTCAAATTAATCGTCAAAAGAAGAATAAATTCCTACTGCTGCTACAAATTACTATATAGTAGTGCTTAAACGATACTTTGTAGATTGTGGTCAGAAGTAGATTTATTCGAGTGTTTTACAATAAGTTTACAGCATGTCGTACTTAGAAAATAGTCTTAGAGAGACCTGTAATATATAAACAGATAAAAAGCTTTTCTCATTACCTTTGGATTTGAAGGGAAATTACAAAATAACAATGTACACATTAAATATGTTGTAAAAAAGTGAACTACATCACAAATAGACGAATAGTTTTTTTGTGATTGGTTGCTTCAAAATCATAGAGTTGACCCAAATTTTATCAACTTTATTCTATTTTCTGATGAATCACGATTAACAAATAATGGCTTATTTAATAAGCAAAATTCTCGGTACTGGGCCCAACAAAATCAATATGCAATGATAGAGGACAATTTTCAAGGAAAGTTTGGCGCCAATGTCTGGGCTAGTATTGTTGGGAAGAGAATAATTGGGCCAATTTTGATTCAAGATCAATTAAGAGGAGTTAGGTACTAAGGTTTTCTTTAAAATGAAATTGAGGATCATCTTAATAATCTACCTTTAGCAGTTTTATAGCAAATTTACATGGAGCATCTCCTCATAATACCAGAGACGTTCTTGATTACTTAATAGAGCATTTCAATAATCAAGTTATTGCAACCAATGGTCCAGTTCGGTGGCCTGCCCGCTACCGGATCTGACGGTGCTAGATTTCTTCATTTGAGGAAATGTTAAAGAAAGGGTTTACCATGCAATAGCCCTAGCCACTCTCGAAATCTTAGAAGAAAAGGTTTTTACAGACATTTAGAAGTATAACACCTCAAATGTTACGAAGCATGTCGAGAGAAACAATTGAACGAGCTGAAATGTGTCTTGAACAAGGAGGAATGCACTTTCAAAATTTACTATAGAGAGATTTTTAAGAAATTAGGATATTGCAAAAAATGTAAATGCATCGCTGAAATTATTTGTTGATCCAATCGCAAATAAATTAGTTGCGTTACTTTCGTCAAAAATCCTTTTTTCGGAAAGTGCTTACAAAAGTAAATAAATTATTATCCATTGCACACATGACAAAAATAAATAAAATATTATCAAGTATATTCCTCAGTAATATATTATTTATGTTTTTTATTTGTAATCCAATCGCAAATGAATTAGTATCGTTAGATTTGTCAAAAAATCCTATTTTCGGAAAGTGCTTGTCAAAAAATTGTCGCCATTTGAAAAATAATAGTTGAACACAAAAATATAATTTTGCCAATTTGTCTTATTCATATCTAACATACTAGTCACTAGAACTCCGCGATTGTAATTTTCTCATATTATTATTATTTTACGTCCGATCATGGCCACATAGATGCAATTTCAAAAGTGACTGAAAAAATTAAATAGGCCTAAGAACTTTCGAAAATGTCGCATTCTGATCCAGAATTGTCTCAGAAATCCAAAAATGTTACAATATACAGGGTGTTCCATTTAAAAATTTTGAACCAGAGTCATTTCCAGGGAAACCAGAAGTGACCGGAAAGTGAAAAATATGTGAAAACTCTCCTCTTCATATACCATTTACCTATACCAAATCTCATTTTGATAAACCTAATAGTCTAGAAGTTATGACTTGTCTAATAGATTCGTTGACACCCGAAATAGATGAATGATCATTGCTTAATATATTAATCAATAGATTATTAAATGTTTAGAAATTCATCACTACTATAAAACCAATTATTTAAAAGTATTTTTCTAACAGTCCTTTTGAAATTGATATTGTTTAGTTTAAAAATCTGTTTAAAATCTGTTTTTCCGTTAATCAGCTGTCGCCCCCATACGAACGACAAATCTCAGAAGTTGAGAAACTTGTGTTAAAGCATCTCTGAAGTCAATTTGTTGTAAAGTTTCAAATTTATGAAGTTCGTTTTGGATTTGGTTGAATGAAATCGCGGCAGAGCTATTTGATCAGCAGATTTTGTACCATGAGGGTGAATATCGGAGGTAAAAGAATAGTTTCATCGATTTTCGTATGTATTCCTCAATATTTCTGGACTGACAATACATCATAGCCTCCTTATTAGGAACAAGATACTAGATAGACTGATGGACCTTTGTTTACATTTTCTATATGCATATATAAATTAAGGGCGTCATCGATTGTAATACCAAAAAGTTTGCAATGTGCACCTGATTTATAGTTATTCCTTGAAATAATTAATTTATGAGTCTACTGTTTGTATAATTGAATGAAGTTGGTAGAAAACCAGTTTCTCGCATTGTGAATAGATTCATCGGCCATTTATCAAAAGAGTAGGTAAATTTGAAGAGGTATTAATAAAAGAATTATCGTCAGCAAAGATAATAGTGGAAGTACTATTAGGAGTATGCTGACACATGTCGTTAATATATATGATGAACAATAACGGTCCAAGTACCCAGCCTTGGGAATTCCATATTTGATGGATCGAAGATCAGAAATATTTGTACCTATTTACTAGTTGCCTGTTAGTTAGATAGAATAATAATAGATTGAGAGGTATACCTCTGATACTGTAACACTCACTCTAACTTAAGCAGAAGATCGTGAGAGACACAGTATAACGATTTGGGCAAATCCCACACAGTGGAAGAACTGTGACATGAGTTGACTATCTGAGACAGATAAAGGTTGTTGGTTTAATGAAATAATTAAATCCATCCTGGCAATGATTTAATGAAATAATAATTATATCCATCCTGGCAATGGTGTTTTCAAACTGGACCCAACCAATATCAACTCTTGGTGGCCCAGTTCCTTCTGCTGTTGGAAACTAAGTGGATCATGAATGTAACTGATTTTGGACTGTCCTCAATGGACAAAAATAGTAAACGGAGTTTTAAATAATTATTGGCACAACTATCAGTTCGAGATAGATTAGATATTGTTGCCGAGTTATGATGCTATAATTTGTTGAAATGAATTCAAACCTAGCTGTTTTCATATAGTAAAATTAATATTTTCAACATCAAAATTCAGATAGATTACTCGTGAAAATTCAATCATTCAGTACAGTGAGATCTGCTCTGCTCAATGGTTATTGATGACATATTCATATTTCGGGAACTAACTGAGAAGTTCAAGGCAGTCAGTATAGTGTGAAATCGACACACTTCATCCAGTTTTTTATTGGCCACATCTCTCCTGGCTCATTATGCCACGGTATTTTGAAAAGTATCTAAATACTGTATATAGACTAAGGATAAAGTCATGTAACGTCTTCATCAAACACAAAGTTTGACTCACACTCTGTAGAGCGATAGAAATATAAATGTGTGAGAGGTTTTTTTGTTATCAGTATATTAATATTTTTTACCTTTGTTACTAAATATCATACTATTGTACACATCTGCTGTTACTTAATAGTTACTTTTTCTATTATAATCAAACTAATACTTTTGCAGAAAATAAAGTGCATTCATTCATTCACACAACAAACTGAACAACACTGGTAAATCAAGGTAAAACATTTCAAATTGTAACTTATGTCAATGATATTTAGTAGTTTTTGAAAATTTGAAAACAGTAGCGAAACACTTTCAGGTGAAAGATATAGGAGAAGTCGGATATTGAATGAGATTTGAATTTTCGAGGAGGATATTTAAAGCATTGAAAAATATTGTACCATACCTTTGTTTGCCGACATATGGACCAAATAGCCTGTAATTTCAACCCAGGATCCAGATTTGTCAGTATAAAACCTATTAAATTGGGAACAGTTATGGGAATACCTGATGGAAATACTCTACTTTCTGATTTCCTGAAACAAAATGAAGATTAAAAAACATGTATATAACATTGTTCTATGTTTGAACAGAGATTAATTCGAAAAATTAATACTATCATGAACCCAGGAGTTTGGCCCCTAGAAGCATGTACCTAACGTTTTTATAGTTAAGAAAGAGAGGGGAGATTAAAGTGAATTGATATTTGATCCAAAATTACTAGCATGAAGGAGGTTTGTATTTGATTCAAACTTACTAGTACTAAATAGCCAATGTTTATGTGAATTTATTAAGATGAGATGAGATATTTATTCACCTTCAAAATTTTTACAGAAGACAGTATGTTACAATAGTCACACAACAGTTTTTTGTTTAGGTACGTCACAATATTGTAGAGAGTATTCTCAAACTGAAAAAATATTCAATAATAAAAAAATATGTTAGTGTATTAGGAATGGTAACAATTCAAAATCGACAGACTTGGGGACGGTCCTGGTTGGTTTCCGGGTTTTTCCGTGGTCTTCTTTGGTTATAATCTCCAAACGTTTCTACTGCAACTGAGGCAGCCATCTTCAGTGGCGTGTTCAAAGTACTCTTCTTGATGTGTCAACTGAAACTGTGCTGATTTTTCGTGCACTTTCTGTAATGGCGGGTTCGCGCGTACTTCCCGCGCGATATGGTTGACTTGGCTCCGTTTTGGCACTTTTCAATTCTGTGTGCAAGATCTTTGGTAGATATGTTCTCTCTTTCTTTCTGTTGAAGTTATCTTGGTGTTTGTGTATTTCTATGGCTTCTAAATACATTCTTGTTGAATAATGATTCGACGTTGCTAGCCTCTTGGTATTTTTGAACAGCATCTTGTGTTCCCCGTTGGACATTACATTTTCAGCGACTGCAGACTTCTTGATCTATCCCAATCGGCAACTCCGCTTGTGCTCGACTAGGCGGGTACAAATGCTTCTTTTCGTCTGACCGATATAAACTTTACCAAAGTTACATGAAATCCTGTTAACTACCGCTGATTTCAGTAGATTTCTGCTGTCTTTTGCTGATCTCAGATACTCCGATATTTTCGTAATTTGGTTTGAAGGCAGTGTTAATTTTCTCAATTCGGTTGGTGACACCTTCTATGTGTAGCAGATAGACAGTGCCTTGGGATTGATTTTCACTGGTGTTACTCTTCTTCTCCCTTGGCGCGTAGCGCGGATTATGTCTTTTCTGTCGTAGCAGTTCGCTTGTAACACAGTTGTTAGGTGTTTTATTTCGTCGTCAACATACCTTACTTCACATATTACCAAAGTTATATTCACTATCGTGTTGATGACGGTTCGTTTCTGTTTTGGATGATGGTTGGATCCATTATGTAGGTATCGATCTGTGTGTGTTTTCTTCCTGTACACCTTAGGGCCTAGTTGATTACCTTCCTTGACGACTAAAACATCAAGGAAAACATCAACGTTATGTCCGTGTTCAAGCAGAACTCATCAAATTTGTATCTAATATGATGCTTTTCATTTACCCTGATCAAATCTCATAATTCGGGTTTGAGCATGTTGGGGATGAACATAATGCTTTTTTCGTGCAGCAACTTCACCATGTCAGCCTTCCTAGAATTTGTGTTGGGTGCTGGATCAATTTGAATATTATGGTATGGAGCATTATGGGTTACTACTACCAATATGGAATGAACTTTTCTTGTAATCATTTACCATAATTCTAAGAATTCATTTATGAATGTTGTGCCTGATTTAAATATAAGCCTACAATTACGTATAAAGTCCATGTCACCTCCTGCATGGACAATAATGAGTCTTGGTCCCTTCGGAATATTTGATATAAGCCTTTGGTTGATTCATCTGTCCAGTTCTTGGAAGATGTATGTCCACTATGAAGATAAGTTTCATCAAGAAACACAATTAGTCGCTGTCAGCTACGAAAATAATTGTTTTTTTGTAAATACTTAATCCTCAATGCTCTAATATCCATTTTATCTATCAAAATTTTTCTATTATGTTCAGTTCTCCTCTATTTGAAACCTATTTTCTTTAAAATACTACAAAGAGATGTTTCGGCAACCACAATTCCCAAAACGTCAATTATTTTTTGTGTTTGAACTTTTTTACCGCAATACGTCACCCTTCCGTCTTATGAAAGTCATAAATAATCTGTCTAATATTAGAACACTCATACTCAGAAATATCAGTTACTGGTGCTCTTCTAAGCCGCTTCTTTCTTGGGAATCAAAATTGTATTCATATCAGTGGACATTTCCCAGAATATAATACCATCCTCAACCGACTTTGAATACATGCATTATGAACAAGAATTGTTGCCTCCCAAAATCATTTTATTTCATTACATTTTCAGAATATTGTATATTATACTAACCATTTGGTAGGAAAAAACAATATTGTTGGGTAGGTTTCCATAGTATACTCCCAAGGTAAAATATTATTCTCTCCATCAATTCTCGCAAAAACGAGGTTTTTCACATAAGACAGTTTCTTAGCAACTGTGAGGTAGATGAACGCAACACCATTACAAAAGGAACATTGTTTAGAATAGTAGAACACAGCAACAGCCTAAAACTCTCAGAATAAATTCAATTTTAATAATTCACTATAAATTTACCTCATTCTCTTTGAGTACAGATGGCAGGAATGTGTGAGTATTCAACTCATTCAACACAATTTTGGATTTTTCTTGTTTTGGATTCTTATATATTGGATGCATTGTACTTGTTAAGTTTAAAGTAATGTCAGATTCAAATGATCTATTCAAATAATTTTTTGTAAAATTCAATATGAATTCTCTCACTGACACACCATTGATAGGTTCTTGAAGAATATAATGGGATTCCATCTGAAAAAGTAACATTAAATGTATGTATCTGGGAAACTAGAATTCTTAAATAACTAAGAGAAACTGAATTAATGAAATTTTCTGAAAAAAGTTATTCTTTATAAAAATTCTACATGGTCTCAAATCTAAAATGCAACTAACAGATATTAATGTTTTTCAATCGTATACGCGGTTTCTCAAAAAATATGAATTTGGCTCAAAAGTAAATTACCATTATTTTTGACAATATCAAAAATGGTTGTTGAGAAAAGTTGATCAGAACTGTAAACTACACTGAAATATGCAATCACATCAATTACATGAAAACAATTTTTATTTCTTCAATATCTACAATGACAATGCGAATGTATCTGCAGTGGATAAATCTAAATTGTCTTCGATTCCAGATAAAATTGGTAAAAATACAATATCGAAAATGATCAAAGAGAAAAATGTTCATCCATAAAAACCACAATATTGTTATATGCCACCTATTTTAATGCATCAAAATAATGTAACATAGAAGTTATGAGACATAAAAATTATCAAAATTGTAACGAATAAAGAGATAACAGATAAAAGATTCAGATATTTTCAAAAATAAATTTTCTTTACTTGGATAAAATTAATATTTTCTGACAAACCTCATATACGACTGAAAAAATCTGATATCTGATGGTTCTATTTTAGGTTTAAGACCATGCATAACTTTTTTTCTAATCGAAAATAAAGAAGTTCTCTATATGGTGTGAACTTGAGCAGACTCCCTTTATAAAATATATTCTTCCGTTACCCAGCCGTTAACCCTTTACGAATGATATGCAGTGAAAATCGATAAATAATAATCTCATTCCTTTCACTAGTTTATACAGGCCCTTTATTAAATGCTTGTCATATTATTTTGATCATAATTTTAATTGTCCATAAAATGCTTGCCTCCTACAATTCAATGCCTCACATTCACATAAAACATGACGATATGTTTCTGTCCCTTGCCACATTGCCTGCAGCTAAGTTATTGGTTATATAGCCCTATTTGGTACAGCGGTCCTCTAAATAGACAATGTCCAGTGATAGCTTTGTAATCATTCTGATATGAACCCTATTGTGTTGGAGCAGTTCAGATCTTATTTCAGTAGGTCTTTTAATAAAGGTTTGCATTGCCAGTACGCTTAATGTTTTTTATTGACCCATTTCTTGATCTGGTCCCATACCATAGCACACACATCAGCTTTTTCAGAAGTTCAGGCACAATGAATACATTCAAACTATTCTGGTCCGTCAGTTTCTTCAGTCCTTCAATGCCCCGAGTACAGTTTAGTTATTTAGTTGGCCACATTTAGTTGCGCAATGCAAGATTGCATTCACTTCCTTTTGGAAGTCGGATGTGTATTGATCGAGCAGTTAGCTGTAATTTAAATTCATCCTCGTACAATATAACGCAGTTAAATTTTGTCAAATACAGATACCGAGCTTGAGAGTTACAAACAAACAAACATACATACATACATACAGGTGAAGCTAATAAAAGCGTGTAAAGCCTGTATACACACTGAAAGATTACCAATGACAATCAGTCTGTAGAGTGATTATTTCGAAATTATCGATAGAAATGATGACAAATATTTTAATATGTTCTCGACTATTTCATCATTAAAAATAATATGTATATCAGCGATTCGATATAAAATCGTAACAAGATTTTTACCTAATTCTATTGAAAACACTTTTTCCGTATCAGAATAAAGATACTGTCTCTCGACGTGTTTTTCGTTAACCAAGTTAGCATCATCAGAATATGACTAAGACTTAGCCATCTCAGGGAATAACTAAATCTCCTGATTCATCTTCTAAGACAGTATTTTTGATCTGACATTTCAAGCCAGAGGTTCCAGATTTTACTTATCATTTTACCTTATTGTTCAATATGACCACAGCACTTTTGTCAGTATTATTGTTAAGATTGATTCCCAATTTTTGAGCAAAATAATAGTGTAACAAACTGTCCATAGCTAATAAGCTCAAGCTCTTGTTGGTCTTGCAAGCCAAGCCACTTATATTGATTTCTGTTCCATTGAGATTTGCTTTCTCAAAAGAAGCTGGTTGTATTTTTTCTGCCACGCGAAATTGCTTACATTTTTCTTTTTGGAACAATTTCTGTAGATTTTCTGCAGATCTTGGATCGTGTATACCTAAAATTGAAAAAGGTCTTTCCATAATTCTAAGATAAACAGATTCAGAAGAATGCGATCAACAAATCCCAAAATTTCTTGATTATCAAGAAAGACTTCACATTTTTCAACAATGTCTATATCACATTGAAAATGGTACATACCACTTTACAAATATTTGTACTTATATTACATGTTTTCTTGTATATTAACATTTTCTCTATATCAAAATTCAAAGGGAAGATTTTATTTGCTGATGCTATGGCTTTTTCTTTTGATGGCAAAACATAGGTGGATGTACATATACAGGTAGAAGCAGAAAAAAAAAAATTCACATCATCATGATACTACATCAAACACCAATTTTCACATCCCAAGGACAAATTCACGAAGCAGTATGAACTCGTTATTTTTCAAAGGTCTGGACAGTTTTAATAAACTGCCAAATAATATACAAAATTCTTCTTCTCTCCGTCTATTCGAAAGGGACTTGGTAACATTCATAACGAAAACCTGAATTACAGCTGATTTATATTTAAAACATAATAATAACTAAGATTTTGTTTCGATTGAATATGTAAGTAAATATGTAAACGTGTATCCTATATAGAATATGTGCNACAGTTTACAAAACGTAAACAACAGTATCCAGTGTTTCACCGGTTTACAAAACTGCAAACAACAATAACACGTACTTCGTTCTATGATAGCTTTCTCAAGCGTTTTCAGATGTATGTAAATATCAAATCACAATTTATGCAATCCGTGGAGGACACCAGATCCAATAATTTATATGAATATAGTTGGAATTATCAGTGTGGAGGTGTTAGTTATAAAATTTGAGAATGTCAACAAAGTATGGATATCATAGATATCATTTCAGTGCAGTTGTTGTAAATATTTTTTGAATTCTATGCGAAACCGCTGTAACCCAACTTTTTCAGTAGTTCAGGTACCATGAATACATTCAATTTATTCCGGTATAGAATTATACATTTTGCAAATTTGAAAGGTGAACCTATGTCTGAAAGATGCCAGCCTGAAACTGGGTGGTGTCAAAAATCCCTTATATCTCACATTGAGGTTATGCACATCGGTTCTATAAGTAATTTATCTGTTCAGGTAATTAGGCGTTTTGCTAATAAGTTTATGGAAAAATGGTGTAGCATGCATATTCAGCCAGCTAATATCATGATGTTTATGCCAAATTCGCAGCCGTTTTCTGATATCGTATATGTTGCAAACACTTTGAATTTCTAGCTTATATTGGCGAGTTAGCATATATATAGCACACCTATAAAGTAAAATTCGATAGTACAACAGCTTAGCACAGTATAGCTTTTAGCCTCAATGGGAATAATGCCTCTGACTATAAACACGAAATATAACTGCTGCAAGAGTTTCATAACATCCTTTTTCTCTTCCTTTTTATGTTCTTGTATCTTTCTGTTTCTTTCTATGTCATCAAATAAATTTAGCAATATTTCTTGGTATTCTTCTCTTTTCTATTCTACAATTCCTACGTTTCTTTCAATTTCTTCTCTTTGAATTCATTATTCTTGAAGTTGTTTGTTCATTAACTTCAAAAATTCTTTTATATTTCCATTTACTGCCATCTCATCATAACAATTAGTTCATGTGTTCACCATAAACAACTAAAAAAGAGACAGGAAATGTCTGATGGATGTAATCCAACGTGGCTAGGGAACTAGTTATTTTCTGGTAGTGTACGAAAAGTTGTAGACGTAAATATTTATTTTCTTGACGTACTATCTTTTCTCGATACTCACTATAGTGATTTAATTTCTGTTAAGAATATTGGTACACGGGGGGACGATACTTCCTTGTTTGAGGTTTCGCAATAGATATATGGAACTACTTCAATGTAGTTAAAAAGTTTCAGTATCAAAGGAAAGTTTATTATTAGCGGTGAAGTGACAAAGAAATCATTTGAGTATCACACAGCAATATTGTTTTGTTTATATCTGTCCTGAACTGATTGGGAGAAACACTGTAAAACCTGCTGATTTTAGATAGATGTTGAACAAATTTGAAGAAGTATCTGTGAAATACTTGCACAAATCTGTTTAAAAATATGTTATCTGTTAACCAGCTGTCGCACCCCTACGAACGACAACCCTCAGAAGTCGAAACTTGTGCGAGCTAACGACTAACGAGGTCTTACCTTTTGACGTGTGAATACATATAAATAGTTTTCTAGCAGGCATTTGCCAATTTTTCAACATTTGAAATTATTTTGTGTGAAAAATCATTCCATTATTCAAAGTGATGACAATTACCTGTTAGAAGAGAAGTACTGTAAACTTCTGGAAAATTTACAGTTCGGCTGTTGCAAATATGTTCATTTTCCATAATAGTTGGTACAATTTCCATACAATTTTCCATTTTGAGAGACGAACAAAAATGGTTTATACTTTTTTTAATGACTAACTCACAGTCTTTTTTTAGTTTTCTTTCAGGGCAACTGGAACTATTAGACCATACTGGATTCATGTAAGAGATAATTCTTCGATTTGATATGTTTTGGGTCAATTTGCATAATGACTTTAAATTTCTGTACTGCAATAAATCATCTGAAATTAGAAAGGTTTTTCATATTACTAAATATATTCCCATACCTAAATAAATTGTTCAATAGAAGAGAAAAAATAAAATGGAAAATGAATCACTGATTAGCAGAGAAGATAGAATTAAACATTTCAGTATAGAACTCTCATCACGAAACTTTATGCTTACTAGTGAAATGAAAGTAAAATATAAAGTAAACAACTCATAGTAAGTAATAAAATATTTAAGTCTATGAATTAATTTATTTTAGAAATCTATTGGCAAAACTAGGTATATGTATGTAACTTTAAATTAAAGATAATGTTTGTCGAATTATATGAAGTTATTCCTGTCATTTGAAAAATATTTATGTTTATGAATTTATGAAGCAACACCATTTTTCTTATAAATAAGGTATTAACGATGTGATTGAAATTATGAATTGTACACAAATAATTACATTATGCATCAGAAAAATTAATCTTTAGCATGACGACAATCTTGACATACCATGTGGTAGTAATCAGTACGAACTCTTAAAGGATTTCTTGGAGTAAATAGAATTAGAGTTGGCCCATTTTGCATATTAGTTGAAAGAGTTGTGCTTTTTGATCCACTAGGTAGAACCCATGATGTTACTTGATGCAAATTATCAAAAATCCACTTCAATATTTCATCTGGATGCCATGGTAAATCAGAAATTGGAAATATCTGAAAAAATTACGAATTTTTTCATTTCTATTTACAATCTCCATAATCATAATTTATCAAATATTAAAACACTATAAAACTTTTTTTGCAAAAAAAATATGTAAATATAAACTAAAATACCTACTAGTGTTTCATTCCACAGATGTAAGTGTAATGATGGCTGGGAAACATTAGATGGTTTCACATAAAATGTAATGCGATACTGAGGGTCCTTCTCTAGATATCTCAGGGCTGTTGTATAAAATACTGCAAAGGCTAAGCTTCCTGGAGAGGTGTTCAGTTCAGCAATAAGGTACGCCTACAAGATGAAGAATCGGAATTCTCCTTGATAAATTCCATCAACAAATAATATGATACAAATATTAACATCAAAAGTCAATCTATGATTATTGTGAGACCATTTCTTCATATTCATATATGTAGTTTCATTTTCGTGGAATGTCTATCATTAAAAAACTAAAACGATTTTTGATCAAATGATTAGCAAACAAGACATAAAAAGTGAAATACCAGTAGTTACATACAGACATTCTTATAAATACAGCTGTCACATAAATGGCACAATTTTGATTAAGAAGTACCCAGAAACAAATTTATTTGCATAAAAACAAAACTAAAAGTATGAAATGTTCATACTGTACTAATCAAAAGACTTAAATAAACCGCTCAATAGTGAATATCTTTGGGCGTACCTATTACCACGAAAACAACACATCAATAAAAAATAAGTACATTTTAAAATGATTGATAAACGTTTTCAACCATGAAACAATTATTTTCATAACAAAATTAACTTGTACTATAAATATTTCTGTTGTGAGGGGAGACTCACTACCACAAAATACCACATATGCGTTTGTTAATCGATCAATCAAAATCACTACTATTCAATGAAAAAAACTGAAAATTTTACCTATTTTTTCTCTATTCTAATGTCTTGGACGTGAAAATGGACAGTTCATATCACTATTTATAACTTTATGAAGAAGTCTTAGATCAATTTCAGTTCGGCGGTGCTCCAAAGTAGATAAATTCAAAAGAAGCAGAATGTCTGAGTACTCATAGTCAGACCTCAAATAACCGAGCTTAAATGCACATGATCTCAGAAATTTGTTTTGTGCTTTCTCAATCATAGATATATCTGTCTGATATCATCGCTTCAAATTATTCTCTTTGTACATGAGGTTTGACCCAAAAATATGAATTTGCTCAAGAGTAATGTATCTTTATTTTTCATTATTTCCACCAATGCATGAAATTTGTGAAAACGTTGAAAGCTACACAGCTTTTAGAGTTTTGCAGCGATAAATGTACCAGATATTTTAAACTGATTAAATTAAATATGAAACGTACAAGTTTGAGATATTTCACATAGTCAGAGTCAGAAATGCTTTATTGTCATAAAAGAACTAAAACAATCTGAAAAAAGCAAACATTGCATCATTTGTGCTCTTAGAGGCTTGAAAGCCATATTGATTGGAGTGAAGAATATGATTTTTGTCAAGAAAATTTAGGATTCTTTTTTTCATTAACTTTTCAACGATTTTAGATAGAGTTGGCAGTAAAGAAATAGGCCTGAAGTTCGCAGGTATATTAGAATCGCCTCCTTCAAATAATGGGATAACTTCAGCAGTTTTTAGGCAATCTGTAAAAATACCATTTATGAGAGATTTATTTATAGCTTCTGCTAAGATATCTAATACAGTGTTTGGCAGTTTAACGAAAATTTTAAGTGGGAGATCATCCCATCCTGAAGAGTTTTTATTTTTTATGCTAGAGAGAATTTCTTTCATTTCCAGAGATTGGGGAATAGTTGAATGAGTTCGATATGGCTACATGCCTAAGGTAACCCATTGGGTTCTCATTGGTTGATATTTTTTTTGCTATTTTTGAGCAATGGAACAGTAGTAAGTGTTTAATTCGTTTGAACTCGGTTCACTATCAACAAAAGATTTTTTGCTTTTTCCTCTTAATACGTTAACGATTTTCCATGTTTCCTGCTGTTCATTATTTGCATTTGATATTCGCTGCTATAATAAGTTGTTTTCGCATTTTTTATGATTTTTCTATAAATGTTCCGATAATTGTTATAGTAGGTGATGAAGAGAACATGATCTCTGAAATATTTACGAATATAGTGGAGACACCTCAAAGTTTTAGCTGAAACTTTTATACCCTTTGTCATCCAAGCCTTCTTATTCTTAAGTTTAATGTTTTGAAGTGGAAAAGCTGCATTAAAAATGCTAAGCAATTTTTTGTGAAAGTCACGTAGAGGATCCTCAGTTGTCACTATATGTCCTCAATTAGAATTATTACACAATTCTGTAAATTTTTCAAAATTTGTGTTGCTGTAAACCCTACCTTGTTTGTGTTGTACTGAAGATTTGCCAATGTTATCAAAAGAACACTTACACAAAATTGTATCATGGTCAGACAAACATGTATTGACTACTTTACAACTTATTTTTTCTTCATGTAAATTAGAGCAAACATAATCCAATAGACTTGATGAATATTTACAATGTTTCATAGGCACCTCAATGTGCAATTTTGAATTGTATGTATTGAATATATTATCGATTGAGGTTTTGCTCTGCAATGCATTGTTTAAGTAATTTATATTAAAGTCTCCTGTTAATAGAACAGATGCATTGGTTGGAAGGCGTGATAAAAGTATTTCTAACTTGAGTAAGAAATTTTCCGTATCTGTAATGGGAGATCTATATAAACATATTATGAAAAGATTAAATCTCTTCCTGAAAATTATGGAAAATTCAAATTCTTTTTCGACCAGTAAGTCATCGTAATTGTCAATGTTATTAGATATATGGTTGAGTTTTAAAAATTGTTCATGAGCTAGAATTATAGTTCCACCATGAATTAATTTACTACGGCAGAATTTTGACACTATAACGTAATTTGGTAGATGAAAAGGTTCGATCGAGTTGAGCCAATGTTCAGTCAATAAAAGTAAATGCGGGTATTTTAAACTGTCCAACAAAACATCTTCGACCTTTTTCATATGATTCTTAAGAATATGTGTATTTGATGCATTCTCACGCCCTGTCACATTTCCTGACTCAATCGGAGATATACAAAATTTGTTTGTGTAATTTCTTCACCAGCCTCACTCAGCAAGTGAGGATTTATTGGGATGTGGATCTTTTGGATAGAATGTCAAGTTACCTTTAGGCCAGGTTATCAGTTTTGATTTTCCGGTATTTTATTTTGTTCTGTTTATGTTATCTTGCTGGTAGTTTCTTCTCTGTGACAGATTATTACATTTTACTACTGTAGATAAGAGTCCTGCACGAAAAGCTTCTTTCAGTAGAGACACATTTTTCTGATATATTCTGTCATTTTTATATTCAATGTCGAATCTGTAAGGTTCTGTGACGACTAGAATGTTAGTATTATTCATTTTCGATGAGAGCTCCGTTACTGAACATTTATGGTTTCTGTCAGGCCAGATAATAACAGTATCAATTTTTGTAAAGTCTTTGCTATGGTTTACTGCTGTTTTAATAAGTTCATCTTGACTACAATTTGGCTTTAACATTGATTCCACCATGCAAGTATTGGTCAGTTGTCTCCTCAGGAAGCTTGCCATATTTCGTCCATTACTTCCAGCAACAAAAAGAATTTTTTATTTTTTGTTTTTTCTTTTTCGTTGGTACCCGATATATTAGCAGTATGATCACTAACAAATTGATTTTTCTGCTTAGTCCATTTATTCTCATTTCCATCCTGTGTAGTGCCCACACAAAATGTTTTTATAATTTTACCTATGCCACTGGTATCACCTAGTGATGAGTCAGTTTGGGTTTGTTTATACATTTTTGTACAATTTGTAACTGTTTGAGTACCTACGCTGTTTTTTGGCATGTTTTTATTCTCAAGTTCTTTTTTAAGGATTTCTATTTGTGCCTTGAACTCGGATATTATCATTTCTTGTTTTTCCAGTATTTTCTTCATTTCAGTTTCATTTCTGAAGGCTTCCTCAACACAGAGTTTGTGTTGTTTCTTGAGTTCATTTATGTGTTTGTTCTTGGTTTTACTGTCCTCACTAAGCTCTATTATAGTTTTTTTTAAAGTGTTGATTTCCACTTCTTCAATATTAATGGTGGCTGTTTCACTGGTCTATTTACACTATATTCTACACTGTCAGCCATCTTAGATATTGTTCAATTCTACTTGTTTTTATTTGCAATTCTAAACTGGATTTATATCTCACCTCTGCTGCTTCTTCAATCAGTTTTATTTCTTGCCTGTTTTTCTTTATTTCCTCCAGCAAAATATCATTCGAAATAGATATTATATGCTATCTTTGGCGGTTGTTGGATGCCACTGGTTTCAATAGGATGATAATTTATAAACAATCGTGATTTTAAACAGAGCACACGAAAGAGTCACTTTGCCATTTTAATTCATTCAACACTTCACATCTGGCATCGGTATGTGACGCCATAAACTCTTCTCAGAAGGTAGGAACTACGAAACAGACGTTCGACCCGTTTGACTGTCTATACTACTACTACTATAAATCCTAAAATTTGGAACTTTAGACAGTTTTTTGAGTTCATATCTTTGTTTATTTTTTCTGGAAATAATCTCAAGATATATCCCTTGAACACTAAACTCAATTGATGAGAATGCATACAATCTAATAATCTTCATAATTTTGCTTTCAAGCAAACACTTTTGTGCATAATATTCCAAGATAAAATTCCAAGACTGTAGTTCGAGGAATTTCATCAAATTATTGAACACTCTTGATACCTGCTTAGAAACATTTAGAAAATTATGGTGTTGCACATATTTTAACCAATTAAAATTGATACTATAACTCTTGACAATGTCTAAAATTGGTTTTAAAAAAAGGTGATCAGAATTTGAAATAACATTCAAATTTGAAATTGAGTTAATATACAATAACTAAGTCAATTTCTCAAAACTCATCTAGAATAATAAAGAAAATCAAACTGTAATTATTTTACACATGCAAAAGTTCAAAAACATTGAGAAACAGAGTTATCATATTTTTGTCAATCTCAAAAGATAAATGTTCATTATTGATATTAATTAAATTTTTGCATGTAGATAATAATCTATCCTTTGATATCCACATCTCTAATCTATGTAATAGGATGGCTTCGGGATGCTATGTTTTAAGGGTTATTACCAGAGAACTCAACTTGCAAGCTGCAAGAACAGTCTATTTTGCGGTAATAGAATCCCGCCTAAGATATCAAATCAATCAAATCTTGACTCTAACATGCATTTTTATCCTTGAAAGTGTGTGTATGATGCACAAAAAATTTAATACTACCAGTGATTCAACAAACTCTTATAATACTAGGCATAATAGCCACTTAATAGCACTACCCATTCCTAAAAGCGCATTAATAAAAAAATACATAATATACAATGCAGTATATCTTCGCTCCACTTCTTCATATAAAAAATTTCGAAGTGCTGTTAAATGTTTTTTGCTAAATAAAGCTTTTTATACTTTAGACGAATATTATAATGAAGATTTTGACTAACATTGCAATCACTTGTATACGCACTTTATATTATTTTACTTGGTTTTATTATTTTAAGGTGTTTATTTAATTTTGAACTGATCCCTTTGTGTTACATATGTATATGTGTGTGTGTGTGTGTGTATATATAGTTATATGTGTACATACATAAATGTATTTCTAAACTTTGTTAACAGGAATTCTGTTCTTTGGACAATAAAGTTCTTTCTCTCTCTCCCTCTATATATTTATGAAGTAGAAATATTGGTAAAAAATAATAAAACCTGATCTTTCATTATGAATTGATAATATCGCATATTCGATCGCGATTTTCATTTCTGATCACTTTTTTTTTCAATAACAATTTTCGATATAACTAAAAATAAAGTTACTTAAACTTGAGCAAAGTTCATATTTTTTAAAAGAATTCAATAACCCATTTTAGAGTTTAGTTCATGCAGAACTATTCACAAAAATTTTTTTTCTTCAAATATTCAACAGAAATCATGTTTTGTGGAGGAAATCAGAGTTTTCAACAGCCCTCTTTAGATATTTTCATCGAAACATCAAGATTGTGGAAGGCAAAAAATACCCAAAAAAAGGTCGATAAAAACCTTTTTTCCCTAAAATTGGTAATGAAAAAGTTTTCCATACGGTTTCAACATACTGAGATATACTGTATATTCATGTTTTACATAAAATTGAATTTGTTCGATAACCCATATCCCATCTCATAAACCGTTATTTTAACACCTCAACACGTGTTTCGATCACCAAGTGATCATCTTCAAGAGGAAGATTAAAATTTGTAGATCATATAAATCACATTGCTGTCAATACATCAAAGCTACTGGGCTATATATTACGAAAATGCAAACTATTATCCATCAATTCAGTGAAAATAGTGTATCTTGCCTAATAGTTTCCCGCTTAGAATATGACTTGATTATGTGGTCACCAGTTCATACAAATCACTGTATAACATTAAAAAGAGTCCAACATGCATTTCTGAGATGCTGTGCTTATGAAATGAATATGCACATTGACAATCATCATTATACAATTCTTTTGAACAGTCTTAACCTAGCCCGGCGGTTCGACGTGGGTGCTCAGTCAATCGGCCGATGTGTGAGTCAATGGTTCTAGCCCCATGCTGAATGCTCGATTTTCACTTGCTATCGTCCAACTCGTGTTAGGAACCACACGTTAAAAGGTAAGATCTCGTTAGTACTTAGCTCGCACATGTTTCGACTTCTGAGGGTTGTCATTCGTAGGGGTGCGATAGCTGGTTAACGGAAAAAACATATTTTTTTTTTACTTGTTGACCAGAAGGAGAGAGAATGCTGATCTAATATGTATATTCAGAGACAGAAATGAATCTGTTAGTCCAGCAACAAAAAGACATCATTAGGGAAATGCAAGACAAGATCATGAGACTCCGCGAAGAAATTGATAGACATAAGGTAGAAACGAAAATCTTGAAATGTCTTCTGAAGGTGACTTGAAAATGAATTTACACCAAATTCTCAATGTATTCACTTATTACTTATTATTATTATAGATTGAATAGTTTTCCATGAATTGAAAACACTATGATACTTCTTTACTCTCAAATTGTTTTTTAAAGAATCTAATAATTGGTTTCACTGAACTTACACAATGAACTCTTTGAGTACTTACATCATCAAAATCTTTAGGGTATTCATTATTTATACGCATTATCGGATTACATATTTTTTGCAAGAATTGAATTATATGGAAAGCAGTTACAGGGCCATTATATTGTATTCCACGTCCATGTGGAGGATATGCTATAAGTACTGGCCACCTATATACTTTATTATATTGAGTCCGACATTCACTTTGGGGTTGCCAACAATTGACGGCAGCAAATTTAACACGTTCGTGCATATATTCTGCTGCCAATTGAAATTCCTTTCGTGCTGCTTGACATTCTGCATCCCAAGGAGCATAAAACATGATAAATGCCACATCACTAGACCTAGCATTTTCTATAGCTTTACTGATTTGACCCCTGTACCAATCTGTCAAGATTGTAGTCTGTGGGAAGAATGGGTAAGCCACAGGTGCTCTCGATACTTTTGGAGGACTAGAAACAAAAAATAAATAATTTCCAAGTTTCAACAGGTTGAAACTACTAACTCTTTGGCAAGAGCTGCATATGTTACCATAACAAAACAAAAAATTGCCAGATCTCTACAAAAATGGAGCATCCTTAGAGTTATTGTAAGATTTTCGCCGTCGTCTCGAAAGAGATCTGTACCAGTTCCCACTTCAATATTATCACTAACTGAGGTACAACTCGAACTGTTATTGTCGAGAGATTCGCTGATAGCATTATCATTGGAATCGTGGCTGGTCGAGGACAATATTTTAGCCTCCTTGGCCGCTAACTGTAACAAAGACATGCCCGTATCGCCTCATTACACATAAGTGAAAGTTACTCTTTACAACATTGTATTTTTCTTTCAAAAATATAATTAGGGCCAAAGTTTGCGAAACTAAAAAAGGGATGACATTTCAAAGAACATTAACCTCACTAAACTTTTGACGTTGGCTTTTTTTCCTGACATGACACGTAAGCTCCGTTCGTTTGTTAACAGTTATGAATCACAATTGCTTGAGAACTCCTTTAGGATTACAATACTTTCATATCTCATTTCCAGTAGTGATGGGCATAATCGAATTATTTTGATATTTAAATTATTAGTAATCGAATTGTTTCAATAATCAAATTATCATTCGAATTGTAAATCACTCGCAATGCGAACTTGAATCACTCAATAGACATCGATAATACAGTACTTGTTTAGTATGTGAATGTACCTTATTAGATTGGTCTGCAATTTTTAATGTAAACTAAGGACAATGTTTTATTCATTTTTATATATTGGGAATTCATTTTGAGTTTGTAAATTTATTGTTCGCTCTGTTTATGTTTCAATTTATCAGATAAATCAGTGCTGACCAATCTCAATTGGCTTTAGTGTAAGTGTATTTTGTTGGCATTATTCTTATTCCAGATTGAATTATTTCGACCAAAAGTTATTCGCTATCCTGCTTGATCAAATAATATCGAGCAGAGAATACATTTTGTCGGATATAGCCCAATCTGGAATAGGATTAATGCCAGCAAAAACATCTACTATCAACGGTTGACTTGAAAATGAAAATATGTAAAACAGTTGTGATTCTGGTACAACAATCGAGACCAGTTTTATGTTAATATTTTAGTTCTTGGAAGCAAATAATGTCAAATTAATTCAAATTCATGTCAAATGCGCCTAAATAATGAAGCGATGACCCCATAATTAGAAGAAACAAAATAATGTGAATTATCATGATCTTTGATTCGATATCTCAAATTATTATAATAATCGAATTATCCATTATTTTTAATTTGAATCAGCCTATCACTAATTTTCAGTTCAGTCTCATGTATGTAAATCATATATCACCTATTGAGGATGAAATATTTCTATTTGAAATGTTCCTGTATTTTTTTTTCAAATAGTATCATTAATTTTTATTAGTACCCTGGATTTCCCTTAGTTTTGCGTGACAATAGCGTTGTCTTGCGGGACAATTAGTAAGAAGAAGATTATTCTGTCAAAGTCAAATGCATCAGTACCTTATCAAAATTGTTGAACATTTGAAACTCAAATATTTTAGAAATATTTAGATTGTTTATTGTTTGAAATTTGAATTATTAATAATAATTGAGTATAGCAATGTCTACTGAGTGTTTCAAAGTAGTGTAAGTATATCATAATCTGTTTTGTTATTAGATGTGGCAAAGAATGTTTTTTGTTATTTGAAAAATGAGAAACCTAAAATTCCTCAGATACATATCTGGCATTACCATTATTACTCTAAAGATGTACAAAAAAAAAGTAAAAATGTAAACATAGTTTCATTTGAAATAAGAGTAAGAGTTTTAATGAATCTGTCGACTCAAAGTTTTAACATCTGCCAGTAATTCTTCAGGAATTTTCATGAGACAGCAAAGATTTTATTACTTCACAATACTTATATGAACTGATTCAAGTGACACTTCAATTGTGAGATTTTGACTAAAACATACTAGTTGTTCCCATACACTAGAACTGCAAAACTCATCTCAACGCGTGTTTCACCCACTCTATTATCATCATCAGGAGATGAATTACTGTTGTGTTATACCGATACAGTGTGGTTCAACTCTTGATAAACTTGAAATTTGTGTCCGAATTATTCCAAGTAAATGTTTTTTTCATTACTATTTCAGATGTCGTGATTATCCTTCAGATTTTTTTTTGGATAAAGCTGTAGCCAAAGATTATTTTTTACAATTTGGAAAAGTAAAAAGGCTTATTTTTAAACCAAAAGTTAGAATATGTACTGTTGAATATGTTAACAAAGAAGACTATTTAAATGCCTTGAATAATGCGGGAGACTATAATGGAGTTAATTTCAAAGTTTCCACTGAAAAATCACTAGAAGTGAAGAAGAAAAAGCTTCCAGCAAGAACTGAACCTATTTGGATAGATAAGGATGAAATCCAAGCTGAACTTGCTGCTATGTCAGGAAATTCTTCAAAAAATTATAAGTTAACAGATGGTAAGTTGAATTCTTTCTAAAAAATTGTTTTATGAAAAATGAGGATTGAAACTTTCTGTTTTTTACCACTTTCATTTGTAACTAACGGTACTGCAGTTTCGTCCTATAAGGACATTTTCAAACTTATACATTAAAAGTTTATAAAAGTATAGTTACAAATAAAAGTGGTAAAAAACATAGAAAGTTTCAATTCTCATTTTTCATGATGATTTCCTTCCACATAGTAATGGCTACATCCATCAATAAATTATTTTATATTTGAAGGTTTAAAGTTTTGTATTGAGATAGACATCATACATATATACAAAATAATGTTCCCTTAACAACCTAGGTATAAAGATATACTCATCATTTATCTATTTAGATCTCTAACATATTTCTTAATTCTATCTGTTTTTTTTCAACTTCCCGTTATTTTTAAACTTCTTCGACGGCTATCATAGATAATTTTAATAATGAAACTTATTCAGGTCAATGATTACCCTTCGAAACATATATGATGGAATTGGCTGATACTTGATGAAAATCCATAACGTATTCAAATAACACTTTATTGTGAGATTTTCACTAAACAATTTTACAATAACGCAACAAGTATTTCGCCATACAATGGCTTCTTCGGGTAAAGAAGCCATTGTATGGTGAAACATGTGTTGCATTTTTGTACTAGATTTGACATTCCCAACACTTACTAGGGTGTGACTAGTATCATGAATTTTCAAGTATCAACAATTTTTTTTCAAATGTTATCAATCTTTTGTGATAGAATATTGTTTCCTACTTCTTCATTAATATATGTAGAATAGTAGATGAGTTGTAAAGTAACAGAAAAATTGAATATAAGATTCCCATTCTTTCTATACTAATTGAAAAGTGGAAAGGCAAAAAAGGTTGTTTTCCCAATAACAAATCTCTCCTAAATACTTTCAAATACTGTTATATACTTTTGTATAAGTATAAGTGGCATCAATTTAACTCCTACTATGTGAAACCATCAGTATGCTATCTTCATATATGAAAAAATTAGATTTATTATGAGAAATGTTGGTTCTTTCTCAAACTTTATCTACGTGAAAAGTTGAATTGATACACCATTGAACTATAAAGCATAAATAATTGAAGGAGAAAATTGATGAGTTATTACTTACAAATTGTGAAAAAAATTGTCAAAACTCTGCAGTTTGTTTCTTTTATATGCAATATATTCATAGTATAGTGTGGATGGAAAACTTTTTTGACATATATGTCTTAGCCTAAAAAATTTGATAATGTTACATGGTAATATTTTTTGTCAATTCATCTTTGAATTGGGGTTCGTCAGAACATTATATCAGAAAAATGTATAGTTTTCTTGTAAAGAAGGTGTTGGTTGAACAATTTACATTCTACCACTCCAAAAACTTTTTAAAATTTGATATACAATTTTTTTATCCAAGACAAAGTTCTTGTCTTCAGTTACTCTTTTTCATATGGTTTCAGATTAAGTTGATATCGTGTTTCCTGTTCATTGGTTTCAAAATTGAATAGAAAAATCGATAAAACTACACATTATCTAATCATTATTTGCAAAGATATCAACTCTTGAGTTATTTTCATAAACTTACAATTAGTTATAGATTTGACTGATAGTTTGGAAGAAAGCCCAAAATTGGAAAAGTCAGCAAAATTGAAAACAAAATTGAAAAAAGCATGGAAGTCCAAAGAGAAAAAAAACATCAAAGAACATTTCAGGTGAGTACCGTTTATTCAATTTTTTTCAGATAATTTTTATTTCTTTTTTATACAGTGCAACTATGTCGAGTGATAAAACGGATTTTATAAACCTTATTTTATCACAAGCAGTGTCCATAGAAGATAAATACAGAATTCTTGATGCAAGAGACAAACTGTTACGAGTCAAATTAAAGGAAACTGGGCACTTGAAGAGTTCAGCTACAGTGGGTACTTGCCCAGATATGTGCCCAGAAAAAGAACGCTTAATGAGAGAAACCCAGCACCAGGTGAAAACTTTAATATAAAAATGTTTAGACCTCACAAACAGAATAGAAAAAAACTGAATTATATTAATTATAATTTCCTGCTATTGATGTAGACTGAACTAGGAAAGCCATATAGCTTGAGCTTGAGTGTATCATATACACCTATCAGGAAGATATTTTTTTATCATTCTGGTGTCGCAATGGTACTTCTTACTGAATCAACTGCAGATAGAGCTTATGACTAGTTGGAATTGTTTTTGTTTGGTCGGGATATTCAGACAGTACCCTCCCGGTACTGTACTCCGAAACCGGTCTAAATCTAAATGGAACACGTTGCACAGGTGCCTGATGGTTTTACTGGGTTAGTTGCGGAGACACACACATATACACTGTGGACGTAAATATCTCAATATCTCCCCTCCTCATATCAATTCAATTTATCATTTAAGGTTCTACCAAGTTTTCTGTTAGCGAAAATAATCTCTTTTTATGATCCAGGTAGCTTTGTATGAACAAGAAGAAAATGAAAAATGTATGGATCAACGTAAAGCCGTTAAACAATACTCTCGAAGCTCAGCTGATCAAGAAGCACCGCTACCACATGAACTAAGACCTGTATCTGTACTCAAAATGACTATGTGCTACTTAATGAACAACATAATGGAACTTTGCGATAAAAGCGATGTTAGTTAGGTATTATATTCAAGGTAGTAACTTGTAACTAGTGTTTTTTTTTTGTTTACAGGTAAACATTGGTGAATGGTTCCACTTTCTATGGGATCGAACTCGTGGTATAAGAAAAGATATAACACAACAAGAACTTTGTTGTCAAGGTGCTGTTGAATTAGTTGAACAGTGTGCCAGATTTCACATTCACTGTTCTGCCAGATTAGTTGCAGAAGACCCATCCGTTTTTGACCAAAAAATCAACACTGAAAATTTAACAAAATGTCTTCAAACTTTAAAATATATGTACCATGATCTCCAACTCAAGGGAGAGACCTGTCCAAATGAAGCTGAATTCAGAGCTTATATTGTTCTACTCAACCTCAATGACGGAAATTTCATGTGGGAGGTAAAGATCATATAATTATAAATTCATTCTTGTAATTTGATTTTTTTTTGTAGGTTCAACAATTACGGCAGGAAATTCAAAAGTCAAATGAAGTTAAATTCGCTTTACAAGTCTATTCCGCTCTGGATAAAAATAACTATGTTGGTTTCTTCAAACTTGTCTACTCTACAACGTACCTTAATGCCTGTATTCTGATGAGATACTTCATTCAGGTACGAATAATAGCTATCAAAACTCTCTTGAAGTGTTATCTGCCAAGAGGTTCTAAAACTGCATATCCCCTTAGTGAACTCAAAAATATTCTTGCATTTGAAGACATTGAAACAACAACTGAGTTCATGCAATCATATGGGCTCTCAGTAAATGAAGAGAATAGTCATGTCATCTTGGAGAAGAACACTTTTGCTGTACCTGACTTTCCATATATTTTAGACCGCTCACTCAAAGTTGTTGAATCCAAAAGAACTGCTTCTGTTGGAAGAATAGTATGTGGAAGGGAATTATCACAAAACACCTTTGAAAATCACATACCACAGAATAGTTTTGATCAGAAAGGATATCTCATCTGTAAAGACATTTTAGATGTGTTAGAATTGGAACAAGCCAGGTTGAAAATCCTTAACGAATTAAAAGATACGAGGAAGTTTACTGAACCTAAAGAAACTTCACAAAATATTTTATTTGAACAAGAAAGAGGTAGTTTGAATTTGTTACCTCAGAAAGAAACACCCCAATCATCTCTATTTAGAAACACATTCGAGAAAGATATTCCATCGGACAATGTCAGTATATTTGGCAATCAGTTGTCGTTTATTGAAGAAAGCCAAAATGTATTTGGACACACTCAACAGAAATCAATGTCATCACGAGATCAACCAGATTTTGGGTTCTCGAGTAAAACAGATATAAACTCTGCTAACAGTAACAACAAAAATGTATGGGGATCATCTTCAAAAAATATTTTCAGCCAACCAACATCTATATTTGCTTCAAAAGCACCAGAAAGTGGAACATTGCAGTCCTTACCCAAGAAAGGTGGTTTTACATTCAATTTATTGCCATCAAGTGATGAAAAAGTATCCAGTGTTTTTAGTAGTACACTTCCATTATCACGTCATGAATTGATAGACCAAGATAATGAAAATTCATATTCCACCTGCATATTACCAACATTTTCTCAATCTCAGGAAGAAGACTCTGTATTGGACGAGGAAATTAAAACTGGTGAACATACTGATGAGCGACTAAAAAAAAATGAAGTGGAAATGGATATAATTGAAAACGAAAAGAGGTTAGAAGAGCTCAAAAGAGAAGAGGACCAGAAGATTTTAGAACAGGAGAAAGAAAAAAAGAAGTTGAAAGAATTGAAAAAAAAATGGCAGGAAGAAGAATTGAGAAGGAGAATTTCTGAGTTACAAAAGGAGGATGAAATGGCCAGAGAACTGGAAATATCAAATACTGTGAAGACTGTTCTCGAGTCAATTGTCACCCAAGTCGACAACAAATTACGTGATGACAAAATTATGGAAATGAGCAGAAAGATCAAAAATAGGTTTTTGCTGAATATATTGAGGAGTTGGCATGTGATAGTGTTGAAAAATAAAAGGAAACGAAAAGCTATTGATTTCAACTCCTCATGGCTCAATACTAAAACTCTGAAACAATCTGCAGAAGAACTCCATACATCCTCACAAGATTTGACGTTACAATTCATTAAAAGATATAGATATGGCAAAGCTTTAGAAGTTGGAATTGTAATAGATAATCCTATAAAAAAGGTGGATCTTTTCCAATTGACGTACAGTACATTGAACAAAAGGTTTTATGATTTAACTGGTATAATACAGAAGGACATTTTCTGGAAAGTAGCAATAAGTTTGCCAGATAAACATGAATTACCAATTGGATTGAACAGAATAGAAGAAACTTTGAGTGATTTGTTTGAATGGAAACAACAAAATGGTCATACTTTTGTAGTAGAGCAAGTGAAATGTAATAATGTAGAATCAATAACTTATTGTATAGAAAAGCAACTTGGCACATCTGTTGAGAGATATGATGCAAATGGTATCATTTTCATAGGCAACGATTTCAATCACAACCTCCAGAGAAGAATATTTGAACACTTGAAGGGTTTTGGAGTTTTTACAAAGGTTCCTATCGTTATTATTCTCCAGCATTTCGATAATAATGAGAAATGCAATCTGAACACTCTCATCAAAGAAAAAATTTTATCAGATTTCATAATTCTTTCAGAAAATCTAATGCTTCCTGGTTTGATTAATGTCATTGAACAAGGCTTGATATTTTTGGCTAGTAAAGTTGAAAGGCAGCCTCCTTTGGAACTTGATACTTTGTATTCATTCATAGAGAAATACTTATGTACAGAAATATGGAAAAGGGCTAATAGCTTTTCAAAGTGGAATTCACATTACAAAAAGTGTTTACAAAATCCTGATATTGTTTTGAGTTTGTATAATGAGGGTTTAACCAAACTAAAAAAGGTAATACTAAGCAAGTCGTGCAGAGAATATGCTGCATTTCCAGATGTCTTCAAAGACTACTTGAGAAGCAAAATACCAAATTTTTTACCTTGCAATTACAGATATTTTCCAACATTTTGGAAAGAACAGTCTTACTTTGAAAAATTAGAGAAAATATTGGATGGTTTAAGATTACCAAAATGGGTCGAAAAATGGCCGGGATCTAATGAATTTGAATTGGAATCACTTGTTTCTAAATATTGCACCAAAGTATTCAAAGAACCAGTAAAGGTTTTCTACAAAGTGATGAGTATCTTATTGAGAAATGTGGACCCCGATTTGAATTTTGAAGATGTACAACAGGTTCTCTGGACCGATGTTATAGAGATACTAGGATTAGAAAAATTGCGTGAGATGAATTTGAGCTTAAATAATACCGAGTTCGAGAATATATCAATTTATAATACATTTGTAGTTGTATATGACACTGAAATGTTAACCAATTATAACTCTAGTAACTGGTTTTATATTAATAATCCAATTATTAAGAAATCTATAAATCTGCAGTTAGATAAGGAGAAAAGTCAAACCATTTGTAATGTGCCAGATAAGGATTCTAGTGAGGATATCGAATATATAATCAGCAAAGGAGAACAGCAACTTTCGTCATGCAGAAATAACACCTCAGAAATGTTAAAGGGTTTGTCAGAGTTCAATGCTTTGCTTGAAGATTTGGAAACTAGTATGAATATTTACAAAAGAATTTCTTCCAAAATGGAGCAGTCACTACAGAAGGCAATTGAAGATAATTGAAAATTTTCTCCTGTATATTTTTTATCTACTTGTTGTGATATACATTTTGTATAACTTGAGTTTTATTCCACCCCCATATTTTCCGTTCTTTCACATAAGATTTAGCATATTCAAAAAACGCACATTAATGTGCATTTAAAGTTTACAAAACAGCGACCCGTGGTTTGCTATACAATAGCATCTTCAGGCGTCACATTGAAGTGTGTTTTTTTCAGAAAGTTATAATGGATTTTCATTATATTCAAGATTGAGTAGGTAAATGCGGCAGAACCCGACAATGATGCCAGGGTATATAAAATTCCATTAGCTGTGTATAATAAATAATTTATTGGGTGTTATCATGTTGCTAAAATAATAAAGGAATCTTACTAAATGACTAGCCTACATAACTTTGTTAGGTTTCAATGCAATATAAAATTCGAAATATACCTTTGAAATGTTGCTGACATTATGGAGTTAAACGTACTTTGAGGCTGCTAGATTATATCCAAAAAAGGCATCTACTGATTGAATATTTGGTAGTCTGGAACCTATTGAAATAGTTTGAAAAATTGGGGAATGTTGGGAATTGGTCTTTTTTCTATAGATAAAGGAAGTGTTTGACTAAGCCTCCCTTATCCCACAGCTTTTCATCGCTTCGAGGTTCAACTTGATAAACTTGAACTACACTTTTTGAGAATCATTTCATTTAGGACATGGTGTCCTTGTTGAATAAACTTCAAAAGACCGTTTTTTCTAATTAAGATAACCTACGGCGATTGAAGTCCAACTTGAATTACCACTTTCGCTCCGGTACTGTTGCCAAAATATTTTGCATCTCCATAAGAAATGAAGGGGCTAATTTTCAATTTGTGGCCTCTGTTTCACTATTAGGATTCTCATTTCAATAGATTCTAAGTATATCTACTAATAACTAGTGAGCAATTCAAGGCATTGTTCTCCAAAAGCCCTGGAAAAACCTGCAGTACCGCTTTGACAAGTGAATCGTCACCGTTGAAGTTATTCTGTCTATACTCCAGTAACTGTTGTATCCAGGCTGGATTCGTCAAAGCATTATTTATCTCGAATAGGTGTAACAATGACCAGAATCCAGACTTCAACCACAATGAATCCCAATGAAAACAGTTTGAAATTATACCAATTCAAAGTAATATTCTCATCTTGTTTCAAACAGTGTTATAGTATTATATTTTTCTGACGTCAGCTCACATGTCTCTTGTGTCCATTTGGATGCTTGAACATCAGCTGCCAATGCATATTTTCAGCGAGAACAACAATATATTAATGAAGACCTGAAAAAAATTCGACTTGGGTTGACAGAAACCGAGTAGAATTCAGTTCCATCAAAACCCAGGAATCAAATGTAGCTAAATCGGACATCATAATGTCATGGCACACAATTTCGCTATCTACGTTACTTAATTTTTTAGTGTCACTATTTTTAGGGTTTGAAGGCTGTGGATTTTTGTAATTTCTTCCTGACGATCAATAGTTGACCCATTGGAACCAGTGGCGTTACATATTTAAATTCGGTTGCCTTCCACCCCTGATATGAAGCTAGATATGAAGAAAACAGCACAGACCAAAAAGTTGTACTTTTGATTGCTTCGTCCGAGAAAAAAATTGAAAACTTTATTGATTCAGGAAACATTTCAATTTGAAATATTCAAATAATAATAAATGGGTATGTATGCTCATTCAAGAAGATATTAGATACAAGCAAAACTTATGGTTATCAGATAAATCTGCTGAATCTTCGTCGAAAGGTGGAAGGTTCTCTTCTTTTATAACATGTTCAGTGCATTTTCGCCATGTTCCGGAATCGACATTTTTTGAGGACATCTTGAGTATTTTTGGTATCTTTCGTCTTCATTCTTGCAACGAAACCCTTCCTTGAGCCCAAACGAGTTCAGTGGGATTAAGTTCATAGAGATAAAACCTTCCCGAAACATGAACCATTGAATTGTGCGAAAGAAAAATACGTTCGAAACTACTACTTTTCATATGAATATTGAATAATTACTTTTTGGTGTGAAACATATATACCGCACGTGAAACCGATTGCTGGCGTGGCGACGCATGCCGTGGCGACGGGTTGCTATGCGCAAGCGACTGTGCGATTCTCTACCCACTGATTCGGCGTTGCGCTATCTTTCTGGCCACACTGAGCTCGGATACTTATAGTGTATACAGTTGTGTTTACTGCAGCATNCTTTAAAAGCGTGTTTTTTAGTTTTTTAAACTATATTAATTCCTATTCAGTTTGTAATCCAAACATTCGTTATGGAATTGAAGCAGATATCATTCACAGGATTGCTACACAATATAGTAAATGAAAGAGGTAAATTTTCACTTACACGGAACACTGTTATCCTCACTGGTGGACATCCGATGTTTCGACATAAGACAGTTTGCCTCTTCAGCACCAATCTGGATAACATCATAGAACGTAGCACTCAATTCATTCGTTAAATTACGACTCCATGTCGCGAATGAGTTTAATCTACTCATGTCACCGATGACAGTACCTAATGACATTCATTCGCTTATTTGATTGAATCCCAGCCATAGAAATCTTGTTTAAATTGAAAGGGCATATTTTCAGGAGATATTAATTTTTTGGAAATCTAAAGTTCCTTACGTAATTTAATTTTCCCAGAAGTCTGCGCCTATGGCGGTCCATGTAGTAACTCTGAAGCTGAGCGTTGATAACCCGAGTCGTTCATTCAGTCGAGCTTAGAACGTAAGTGAGTTCGGTCGATTTTCGCAAATCTTCGGTAATACACACGAGGAGACTTTCGTCACGTCACTGTTACTGGTAAATCATCTTTGAATTGTAGATAAGGGAGTTTTTAGTGTGTTGGATAGTGATTGATATCAGTGGTTTCATAAGTGACATTGTATTTAAAACTGTTTTCGTTCGGGAAAGACGTTGAGAATGCCTTCTTCGCAAACAAACGAGTCGTATTTTCGAAAACGCTGACGGTATGCTTTTTGGTTTTGTGTTTATCGTTGCTACCTAGCGGGATGTCTTTTCTCAGTTTCGGTGGGGGTTCCAGCACCCCCAAAAGGCCGCTGAACCCCAAGAGTCCGACGATACCGTTTTGGTGAGTTTTGTTGTTTTTTTTCTTTTTGTTTGACGGGAGTTTAAAAATATATCTGATCGTTAGAGAGGCATCGGAGGATGGCCCGGATGTCGGAGTAGGCTGTGGTTTGTGTCTGTTACATCATTAGGGACTCGAAATAGGTACCTACTCGAACGGTTCTGAGGGGCGAGTTGGCGTGGTTAATTCACCCTCTAAGAAGAAACCCTGGTTCAGTTTGTTTTTCATGGTTTACTGTATTAAAACTTATTTAATTTAGTCACAAACGAAAGTATGATCAAGAAAGATCAGGTCGATAAGGCAATAAACACTTATTGATGAAGGTTGGAAGTTTCATTGTTTGAAGGAATTAACTGAATTGAAACCTGGTAATAGAGAATTGAATCAAGTTATAGGTCTTGAATATTCAATTAGATTTGTAAAAGGGCAACTAGAAAATAGCATTGAATAATGTGAAAAGACAAACACTAAAACATGCTATACAAAATCAAATCGTAATAATCTGATAAATCAACATTGACATTAGGAATCACACGTTAAAAGGTAACACCTCGTTAGTCATTAGCTCGCACAAGTTTCTCAACTTCTGAGAGTTGTCGTTCGTATGGGGGCGACAGCCGATTAACGGAAAAACAGAACAGAAACAGAACTTGTAGTTCAGTGCCGATAATTTTTGAAACCAAAAAAATAGTAGTGGGATGAGACCCATTGGAAAAGAAAGAAAATAAGACAAAAATGCAAGGAAACAAAATTTACGGGCGATCTGAGGTCGGGAAGTGGAAGGGGGTGAGTTTTTGAGGGTAAAAAACTGTTAATCACGATTTAAGGCAAAACTACAAGTACTATGAGAAAAAGTTGAATGGCAAAGCGGTAGGTGATAAAAAGGTCTACAACTTTTGTACCTTCACTTTTTTCACATAGCCTTAAAATTTATGCGAAAAATTCAAGTGAGCGATTTTCTGCTTTTTTATTTTCATCTTTTACAAATTTTTGTTTGACCAAATTTGGTGAAAACTCACATTTTCATGCCCCAAACAAATTGTGATATTTTTTGATTCAAAATATTCATTTCTTCGATTCAATATCGAAAGAGAACACTAATTTTCAATCGAAAATTCTTACGTCAAAATATCTGTTTTTTTTTTAATCGATAAAATAAATTTATTATGCTTTTCTTTCATTTTCCGGCAAATCCAGATGTTGTAAAGCAACCAGAGTAACAATGCAGAAATACAACGATATTTTTTAAAGGATTCATATTTGAAACTATTAAACGTGAAAAATAGATCTTTTACATTTCCAGAACCTGGCTTGAGACAATGAATGTCATGATTATCTGAATTTAATCGATTCAAAAGTATCGAAAGATCAATATCTTGACACACAATTATGAGAGTTTTATCAGTATCTCTGGTAATCTCTATCGAGGTCTTAATATTGACAGCATCAGCATCTTCTGCTTGTTTACAGGAAAATCCTGGTGACTGTAATCTTTCCGTTAACGTTTTCATTATTTTGTCCTTGTTTTTATCGTTGGATAATTTTTTTTTGCAAAAATGGTATTTTTGTACGGTTTTGATAATTGTATTCTGGAACAGCGTCCGAGGTTTTTCTGTAACTACGTTCTACTCTTTTAGTTGAATTAGCTGCTGGTAATGTCACAGTAACTGATTTTACAATTTCGGGGTACCCATCAAAAAGGATAAAGCTGCTTGCTGCGTAATGTTTCTCTATATAGCGAAAATATTTATTCATGATCTCTTTTCTGCCAAATTACTTTGTGCAGTAAAAAGCCACCGTCCACGACATGCTGTCAGGATGCGTTGGTTCACTCGTACTCACAAATAACTCGTTTTTTACATTTTTTGAGAAAATTGGCAATAATAATGTATATTTCTTCCAAAACCGTCAGAAACTAGAGATTTCAACGAACAACAAGCACGCCGATTT